CTATATTACTATGGCCCCTGACCTAGAGAGACAGAACACGGGCATCGAGCATGTCGTTCTCTCGGTTTCTGGCATGACTTGCACTGGTTGCGAGACGAAACTCAACAGAACTTTAGCGACAGTGTCAGGCGTCCGGAATTTAAAGACGAGCCTCATCTTGTCCCGAGCTGAATTCGACGTGGATCTCAATATGGCGAGTGTCAAACATGTGATGAAACATCTAGAGCGTACTACAGAGTTTCACTTTGATGTGATCACCAGCAGCGGATCGAGCTTGGATATTATCACGTCTGAGGATCTGTCAACGTTTGTCAATCGGCCATGGCCAGAAGGAGTGATAGACGTATCTCCCGTCAACAAGGACGAAATTCGCGTTTCATTTGATCCAGAGGTTGTTGGGGCACGCGACCTCATAGAGAAACATTGGGCAGGGGTTGCGAGGCTAGCGCCTACCCGCGACGATTCAGCACTCGGGGCTGGGAGAAAGCATGTCCGACATGTCGGATACATCACACTTTTTTCTGTGATTCTTACCATTCCGGTCTTGGTCTTGGCGTGGGCTCCGATTCCCGAGCGAGAGATACCCTACAGCTCTACATCATTGGCTCTAGCAACGCTGGTTCAAGTGATGGTCGCAGGCCCATTCTACCCAAAGGCGCTGAAGGCTCTTATCTTTTCAAAGGTCATTGAGATGGATCTCCTTATTGTTCTGAGCACCAGTGCAGCTTATATCTTTTCCCTTATCTCGTTTGGCTACCTCGTTGCTGGTAACTCGTTGTCAACTGGCCAGTTTTTCGAGACCAGCACACTTTTGGTCACCTTAATCATGGTTGGGCGTTATGTTGCCGCACTTGCCCGTCAGAAAGCAGTCGAGTCGATCTCTATTCGATCACTTCAGAGCCAAAATGCTGTCCTGGTGGACGGTTTCAACTCGTTCGAGGGTAGGGAAATCGACGTCAGGCTTTTGCAATACGGCGACATTTTTATGGTGGCCCCCGATACGAGGATTCCGACCGATGGTACCGTTGTGTCTGGCTCATCTGAAGCGAACGAGTCAATGCTCACTGGGGAGTCTCGTCCTGTCGAGAAGGGCCCTCAATCCCGCGTTATTGCTGGGACAATCAATGGCTCGGGAACTTTACTTGTCCGGGTCACTCGACTGCCCGGCGACAACACCATCACCGCCATCGCTGCAATGGTGGATGAAGCTAAGCTATCCAAACCCAAGATGCAAGAACTGGCTGATAAAGTGGCTTCTTACTTTGTCCCTGTCATTGTGGCCCTGGCCATTGCTACGTTTGTCGTCTGGATTGCAGTTGGTGTGGCAGCCCAAGGTAAGACCGGATCAGAAGCAGCCGTTCAGGCGATCACCTACGCTATTACCGTGCTTATTGTCTCCTGCCCCTGTGCTATTGGCCTCGCCGTTCCCATGGTGGTTGTATTTGCTAGCGGTATTGCGGCAGAGAAAGGGGTGGTCTTTAAGTCCGCGGATGCCATCGAAGTAGCCTATAAGACGTCTCACGTGGTTTTTGACAAAACAGGAACTCTGACCCAGGGTAAGCTAGGCGTAGTCGTTGAACACTGTCTTATGAACGGTGAATCACGACTGCCCTTCCTCCTAGGCCTCATCAGCAACAACAAGCACCCGGTCTCCCTTGCAGTTGCTGACCACCTAAGGCGCAAAGGAGTTGTTGCAACGGCTTTCCCAGGAGCCAAAAGTCTGACCGGCCGAGGCATGGAGGGTGAGATGGCTGGGCAGACGATGCGGGGAGGAAATTCTCGCTGGCTAAATGTTCAAAACCACCCACTGGTACAGCCAGTGCTTCTCCAGGGCTATACTGCGTTCTGTTTTACCATCGACGGCGTACTGTGGGCGGTTTTTGGCCTCGAGGACTCTCTTAGGGATGACGCTTCTCAGGTCGTCACCACTCTACTAGGACGGAATGTGTCAGTCCATGTGGTATCGGGTGATGATGTCGAGCCCGTTCAAAAAGTGGCAGCAATCCTGGGGATTCCAGACAGGAATGTCCAAGCCCACAGCTCTCCATCTGACAAGCAGTCCTATATTAAGAAACTTTTGGGAGATCCATCGAATGTTAAGGAGCCCGTTGTCATATTTTGCGGAGATGGAACCAACGATGCCGTCGCGCTAGCGCAGGCTACTGTTGGCATTCACATGAATGCAGGCAGCGACATTGCGCAGGCTGCTGCCGATGTGGTGTTAATGAGGCCAGCTCTATCCGGGATTATTACTGTGATGGATACGAGCAAAGTGTCTGTACGGCGCATCAAATTTAACTTCGGTTGGAGCTTCGTTTACAACACATTTGCCGTGCTTCTTGCTGCCGGGGCATTCGTGAAAGCTAGGATTCCCCCTGAATTCGCTGGGCTGGGTGAACTTATCAGCGTGTTGCCTGTCATTATCGCCGCAGCCCTTCTGCGATGGACCAAGATCTAGTTTGGGCTACATACACTTCACGTCAGATGTAACTCTGGGACGTGCTGGTTCAGTGGCTTGGTAGTCTTACATATGGAGAGCTGGGGCATCCAACATGCTTCCACCGAACAATTTACCCATTTATTTGTTTTCAACAAACGTTCCCATCCCCCTTCCGATGAGTTTCAGAATAGATATCTGATTTCACCAAGTTGTTGGTGAATACACACCGATTACTGTTCTACTGGCTCCAAATTACCTATTCATTGCAGCTTTGCAGCCTTCGTCATGTAATAGGTAGATCGAGATGAAGGCTACACAAAAGAAGAAAGGGAGTGGGCGTGCATCAAGCTAGATCGCCAGATCTCGCCCGCCCCCCTAGGTCCCTCCCTTGAACATTTCATAAGGGAATACCATAAGTTACAATGACTGGATTGACATTGAAGCCTAATTGCATTTAATACCGCGATAAGGCTAAGCAGGGACTGGTTTGGAAATTGACCCCATACAGATTAGTATGCTTCTTGTCGGTGCGATAAAATTCACGCGTCTAGGATTTTTGGCACTAAATTCATTAATACTATCAGTATCCAACATACAGCGAGGAGACAACCGCCGAGAATTATTTCTCCTGCAAGTTGGTTATAGCAACCCTCTCGATGGAGTGAGGATTTGCCCTACATTGCTGATATGATTGACTGGTATGGATCTCAATCAATTTGATTCATGTTATCAAGCTCAAACTTCCAGGATTAAAACATTACACGGCAATCTCTTTGGGCCATCTTCCAAAAGTAAATTGCGAGTTACACATGTTGGTCAACTCCCAACTCTCAGCACCCAGAATTGCCGGCGTATTCTCATCCTCTTCATCTCCTGCCGCGCCAGCTACAAACATGGCAGCCATGAAGTGGTCATCGGTAGCGTGTGCATCTCGGTATCGGGGATGCTTCATGAGCCTTGTCATAGCACGCCGTAACTGCACACCGGACGTCTTGGTGATGACATCCTCGACCGCCTGGCGAAACTCCATGGCCCAATCCTCTGGTGGTGTCTCCATCGCAAAGTTATCCCGGAAGCGCATCATAGGCGCCCATCGATTCCGGTATAGATTGTGCACCGCTCCTCCTGTCCCGATGATAAGGTAGTTTTCTCGTCGTAGCTGGCGCAGGGTCGAGCCGATCTTCATGTGGAAATGAGGGTCGTAGCGGGCGTTGGCTGAGACCAGAGTCGTCGGTGGACATCCCCCCGGGAACATGCGGATGAGAATGAGATATACGTCGTGGATCCAGTCAAAAGTGTCATTGCCGCTCACGTTGAATCCCTCCTGGGCCAGCATTTGGATGCAGCGGTTTGTGGTTTCGAGATCGGGGTTGAGCTTGTAGTTTTGATACTTGTCGGGATGCACATAGGCCACTGGGCTCTTGTTTGGGTTGGGATTTGTTGACAGCTCAATCTTGTCCCCCATGCAGTCCCAATGAGCCCCCTGGTATGTGTTAGCTGTGTTATCTGTGTCGGGTGTATGTGGTATATGAGGTACCATAATGACGACGCCCTTGATATTACGCTCCAGGGCTTCATCTCCACACTTCTTCCAGTAGTCTGCACTCTCCGACTCTTCTCCCAACATCATGGTCGAGCCATGGGAGAAGAAATGAACGGGTGTGAGGCCTATATTGTTAGCAAGCATCACATAAGAAGAATGCAGACATACCCATTGTGAGTACGTATATAGTCAACTTGACTGAAAATAACAGGGGATAAAGCAGTACAAATACTCTTCCTCTCTATGTAACTCCATACTCCCTCGGGTATGATCCCCCACATCCCGAACGTACATTTGCCACAAATCAGACAAACTTAGACCAATTTCGACCATTTTAGATCCAACTAATTCAGCCACTTCTTTCTGCTCAAGCCCCTTTGGGGTAAATGAGGGGTAAATAGCTATTTCCAGGGCAAATATCCTTCAGACTCCGGGGAACAACGGTGTACATGGAGTATGAAATATGGGGAATGCACGGTGGAGTAGGCGGATGAGCGCGGGACTGGCCGCTGAATGAACTGATTTCATTTCTCTTATGTCTAAATTCTAGTTTCTCGTATTAAACCAGCAATATTGAAATATTCTCCAGTTGGCATACTTTGGCGTCTGAGAAATTCGGTGGCGTCGATCAACTGCCGCTTCCCCCGGATTTCCTCCTCTCTCTCCCTCCTTCACTCCTTCACTCTTCTCTTCACTTCTCTCGCTCCGCCATTCCATTCTTCTTTCTTCTTTCTCTACAAATGCAGTCTGATCATGTTCGCTGACTCACCCCCAAAGTCAGAGCGTCTTGACAATGCTAATTCTCCACTCAAGAAGGAGAACGGCTACTTTCAATGTGGTTTCTGTAAACGTCACTATAATCGAGCTGACCATTTGATCCGCCATGTTCGCTCGCACACACGAGAAAAGCCATACGTTTGCGATATTTGCGACAAAGGCTTCGCTAGGCCGTTAGCATAACCCCCGTAGGAGTTCTGTTCCATGGCTGATGTGTTCCCAGAGATCTGTTAAAACGCCATGTGGCAGGCCATTCCAATGACCGGGACCGTAAGCGGAAACGAAGCTCGTCAGTCACCAAACAGAGCAGAGTGTCTCAGGCATGCAAATCTTGTGCTTCTTCAAAATTAAAATGCGACGATGACAAGCCCTGCCGGAGATGTCGCGAGCGCAACCTGCCCTGTGACTGGCAGGACGTATCGCAAGATTCATCACCCGAGCCTACACACCAGCGCAATACCTTCGATGCGCCTGCGCAAAGTACTGCGCATATGGACTTGAATACTTCGCCTGCGGTGGCATTCTCGCCAATGCCAACGCCTCTAGAGGATTTCTCAGCGACCAATATGTTGATGACTCCGAGGCCTCCTCTGTCAAACAACATCCTTTCTCCAGAAATACCCTCAGTGGGAGATCAGATTCCCCTTGAAACTGGAGGTAAGAATGAGCCTCACGCATTTTGTTACCGCTGACTGACTGTTGCATAGTGTCGCCCAACGACCATGAGAGTGGCATCTTTAGTGTCGACGGCACATTCTTCCCAAACTTCATCCCCGACTCCCTCATTCCTTCTCTTGCCCGATATAATGACCCAGATCCATCGCAAGTGGCACCTGACTATGTCCATTTTGGCGCCTGGGATGACCTCCACTTTGACTTCACTCTTACCGACGGCGACTTCGGTCTGATCGACTTTTATAACTCCCGGAGCTTTCTACCAAACTTCCACACCAAAAATCATGAGATTTATGATACCGACAGTGGCATCGGAATCGGTGCAGAGGCCTACCACCGCTCATCACTCTCCGCATGGAAACCCGCACCTGAGGATCATGCCATTAACGACCATGAAAACCTATCTGTCCCGCAAGTGATCAACAGTCCAGAAACCAACATTTCGTCTGAATGGCCAACTCTATGTGAGCGGTTGACATCCAGTAGCCGCGACCTAATTTTGAGCTTGGTCTTGGAGGTCAGCCGAGATGCCAGCCTGAGTCGTATCATGAAGTCATTTCCAAGTACAGAATTACTGGATGGCTTGATCCAGCAATATTTTGAGCTACAACAACATACAGTTCAAACATTCATTCACATGCCAACTTTCCAAACCAACAGCGAAGATCCTGGTGTCCTTGCTGGTCTGGCTGCTGCTGCTGCCGTTCGTTCACCCGTTCCTACTATCAGAAAACTTGGATATGCGCTAAACGAAATTGTGCGACTGCATCTTCCGAGAAAGGTAAGACTATTTCCATCGATGCACGTAAGAATGATGTTGACATGCTCTCAGTACGAAAGAGATAATACATTTATCCGTGATCTGCGGACTTCACAAACCTATGCCTTGACTATCGACATTGGTATCTGGAGTGGGAACCATCGAAAGACTGAAATTGCTGAAAGCTTTTCACAACCGCTCATTACAATGCTTCGTCGAGCTTTACGATTTCGTCGCTCGGTTTACGCTAACATAGTACCCCTTGCGGAGGATAAAGGGCCTGCCCTCGAGGCCAAGTGGCGCGAATGGGTTGAACAAGAATCCTTCAAAAGGTATCTTGAATACACATCCATTCCTCGTCGCACACTAACTTTGTCGGTTTAGGCTTGTTTACCATATCTTCATACATGACTCCCAGACAGCCATGGCTCTAAACGTCAATCCGGTTATATCATATGCAGATATGGAGCTTCCTTTGGCGGCGTCGCGTCATTTATGGGAGGCCAAGTCTGCCACCGAGTGGAAAGACCGCTTTGGTACAATGGCTCCCGGGCGCTTGCCATCCCTGGCCGACCTTCTCCGCGACATGTCACAAATCACAGTGTTCCAAGATCGTGTCGACGCCCAATTCGCAGCATCGGTTTTGATTCACGGTCTAGCCGCGCTGATCAACGAATATCACAGGCTAAAGTTTATTTCTACCAACAACTCCAAACATTGGCATGCTCTCGTGACAAACTCTCGTCAACAAGAGCTTGATCAGGCCCTCCAGCATTTCCGGATGGTCTGCTCTGAACTGCGTGTGCAATGTCGACCTGAGATCATGCTTGTGTGTGAAGTTGTCTCAATGCTCTTGCACATGTCCCTTGAGGAACTTCAACTCTTTGCCGGCAAGGAAGATAAACAAGAAGCTCGGCGGGTCTACCATTCCGCCTTGGAGTGGATTGCTAGTTCTGATTCACGAAGAGCGGTATGGCACGCCGGTCAGGTCATCCGCGCTGCAAGAAGTATGCCACCAGGTTCCTTGACAGGGTTCTTGGCTATTGGAGTCTACTACGCCGGTCTTGCATTTTGGTCTTATAGTGTGGTCTCCAAGGCGAACACGGCTCGACTCACTGGAAGCCCTAACTCTCCGATACCAAACACTGGCCCTACGGTCTTTCTTGATGGCGACGATTTACCAGATGTCTCCAAGTTTGTAACCATGGACTGTGGCTCTCCCGCCTTGCAGGGCCCGGGCGGAGCAGCCTATTTGGTTGATCCGGGGACTACAATGGATGTTGTACAAACAACACTTCGAGCCGAAACTTCCGAGAGGACACCACCCTTGGTCCAGATGCTGGCTCAATTGATAGGGGACTTGGGGCACTGCGTGCGTACAGATGGTTAAAGACTCGGACCTTGACTTGTATTACCGATATTTCATTGATACCCCATTTTATGAATCCAAACAGCCATATCCGTCTTTGGAGTGGTATATGATATAAATATCGACCAAGATATAGTACTGTAGACTCACAAGTAGACTAGGTTATTCTAGATAAATGTACGCACAGATACCTCGGGTGAGCGTCCACATTCCGACGAGCTTTCCCCACACTTCACCCGACTTTGCGGGGAGATCGGACTCGGCGCCGAGGCCGAAGTATCAAGCTTCTCGGTGCATAAGTAGAGCTTCAAAACTTGATAGTAAATTACCATTCGAAAAGGTGATCAAATTCTGATACCGTGTGATTATTGACGCAAAAATGGTTCTCAAGTTGAAACAGCAAAACTGTTCAGGCGCAGGCCCAGCTCCGGCAGTAGATACACCTACTATCGTCAGAGGTGTCATTGATGAGATTCGCGCAAAGGGCGATGATGCTGTGAGGGCATACTCGGAGAAATTCGACAAGTGGAGTCCTACCAGCTTCAAGCTCTCGCAAGAAGAGATCCAGCATATTATCTCGACGGTTCCTCAGCAGGTTCTTGATGATATCAAGCAGGTCCAGGATAATGTGCGCGCCTTTGCGCTTGCGCAAAAGGCATCTATTCAGGAATTTGAAATGGAGATTCGTCCCGGTGTGCATTTGGGACAGAAGAATATTCCGATCAACTCGGTTGGAGCGTGAGTTTTTGTTTTTCGTTGGGTGATTTTCATCTACTGATGCTTGGATAGATATATCCCCGGTGGTCGGTATCCTCTTCTCGCATCGAGCCATATGACGATCCTTACGACAAAGTGTGCTGGTGTCCCTCATGTCACGGCCTGCACTCCTCCAATTGCTGGGAAGATCCCTGCCAACACGGTTGCTGCGATGCACTACGCTGGCGCGGACGATATCTACATTCTGGGTGGTGTTCAGGCTGTTGCAGCTATGGCCATTGGTACGGAAACAATGAAGAAAGTCAATTTCATTGCCGGTCCAGGAAATTCCTTTGTCGCTGAAGCCAAGCGACAACTGTTTGGAGAGGAGATTGGCATTGATCTGCCTGCGGGACCGACTGAGATTCTCATCGTGGCCGATGAACATGCCGATCCCTTCACTGTCGCCACCGATCTCTTGTCCCAGGCTGAGCATGGATATGACACACCTGCTATTTTGATCACCACTTGCAAGACTCAGGGGGAGAAGACCATTGCGGAGGTTGAGCGACTTTTGAAGATCTTGCCCACTGCCGATGTTGCTGGGGTTTCATGGGATCGCCTGGGAGAGGTGATCGTGGTAGATAGCTTGGACGAGGCTTACAAGCTCGCTGATGAATATGCCTCTGAGCATGTTCAGATCCTGACGCAAAACCCCCGGGAAGCTTTGGAGAAGATGTCCAACTACGGAGCGCTTTTCTTGGGCGAGAAGACTTGCGTATCCTATGGCGACAAATGCATCGGAACCAACCACGTTCTGCCAACCCGAGGCGCTGCACGATATACAGGAGGTCTTTGGGTTGGTAAGTTCTTGAAAACAGTCACTTATCAAGAAGTTACTTCACCACAAGAAAGTGGAGAGCTTGGTCGGCTCTGTGGGAGAGCAGCACGAGCTGAGAACTTTGAAGGCCATGCCCGCTCGGGGGATGCCAGGGCTCATCGGTATCTGAATGACAAGTTTGAGTGGATTGAATAAGAATATGAGAGGAAGCAGACTCTTAGATCAATGCCAGTTGTTTTGCGATAGACTCCCAGTTTCACCTATAATTTCTCGACTAACTTATAGTTAGTCAACTACATGTACAGACGCGCTCGAAATCAGTTTCACCTCTATACTCTCTTCAATTCTTTGTCGACCTCTATTTTGCATGGCGCCATTCCTTTTGCGGTTAGCTTACCCCTGATCCACCCTCTTGGCAGTATCTCAATATAGTAATAAATAATGGCACAAAAATAGCTATCGTATCATGGTTGTATGGGCCATGCGCTGTCTAGAACCACTCGCTTGCAAACAAGCCAACGGTGATGAATTCCAATCCTAGGACCCCTATCCCTCGGACCAGGATTCGCAATACGCCCCGACTCCAGGATATTACGAACACACGCCACCCTCAAAATATGGTTTTATCCCTTCACCGAACCGTTGCCCCTAGGACGATCCCGAGCTCTTAGTCGCTTCCCAACCGGGACCCCTTAAGCTGCTTCATCTCTCCGAGTGGGGAGCAAACAGGCCAGACGACGAGCTTTCCGCAAGCTTTATTCGGTATACTATCGAGTGGAAAGTCAAAGTGAATAACCGGTCCATATCAGAGGATACGGAATAGGACTTAGCGCTGACCCCAAGTGCTTACTAGCCCTTGGTCCTTAGGGACAAGCTGTATAAGGTAATCGAGGAGAAAGTTGCGCGCAAACGAAGGGTTAGGTCGGACGACATATCTATTGTTGTCTCGATCAACGATCGTAAGCAAAGGGACCTAAAAAAGCGGTTTAATGGCCTCAGTATTGACTAGTCCACTGTGGAAAAACAATTGCTTATTTGGGGGAAGTTTCATGCCAGCGGTAAAGAGTTACGGCTAAAAATCACCTTTAACTATATAGAGGACGACATCTCCCCTAGAAGCTCAATAGGCAGAAACGACAAAAGAGGAAGGTTATCTATCACCAAAAGGATGCTTAACGAGCGGGATGAACAACTTGACGCCGAACAGCATACAACCGGGGAACAGTCGATCTAGCGGGCAGTCTACAATTTGATGCGCTGTCCTTCGCTATCTTGTCATCTTGGTCCGCACTGCTGGCAGGACCCACATAGGAGAAAACACTATTAGCTAAGGACGCACCATTTGAAACGCCTGATCGCTTATATTGAAGGTGGTGGCATTCTGGAATGTCAAAAAAATGTTCCTGACGCTGTTCGTGAGGAGCTCTTCTTAGAAGAGTAGCAGAAATTGGAGAGTCTCCAAACTAAGGGTAGCAAAATGCTTGCTATAGGAAACTGTCTACCTATTAATATCAACTTTATGGGAGGGCAGTATCACCTTCAATCACCGGCGACTAACTTAATTGCAACATTGGCTACTTCTCCACCGCAAAATGGACAGATAGTTGATCCGCTCATAATTAACGGGCCCCGAGATTTGGCTATGAGAGAATATAGCGCATGGCAAAAAACAAATATTGTCGACGACAATTTGAAGGCTCAATTTCGACAGGCATGCGATGTAACGCTGGCCAACGGTCTAGATCTTGAACAGATCCATAAGGACCATAACGCGGGATTTTTTTATTGAAAAAGGAGTTGCGGTAGGGATTGCACGCCGCTTCGTAAGCGACATTAGTAGATGGATGAGGCACGTAAGAAGCTGACTACGCAGGCTCGCAGTCAGTGGCTGGCGAGGCGTGATTAGACTTAGAATTGCTTTTTTTATTTGTTTTTTATCAGATGGACTCCCTGCAATGCAATACTAGGCAGAATAAATGCGTATATATATATTGTCTAGTCAAATTCGATACCACTGAAATGTTTGTATAGAAGTAGTCTTGATTCATCAATAGCGAGCCTTAATGAAACTCTTCAACAACAACGCCAGCGTGCCGGAAAGATGATCACATATGGCCTCTAGCATCGGAGGGGTGATACTTCGTCGTCGTCCGACAAGTGTTGGAGGGGCTCTGACATTTCCGAATCGGTGGATGTTGTTGCGGATGTTGATGATGGACCGCTCACTACATTCAGCTGCTTCGGCCATTTGGGATGTATTCAGGGAATTGCTAAGTATCATGTCACGGATCATCTCGAGCTTCGATGGAGGGAGCCTTGGCGCCATTTTGCGGAGGGACGATAGAAGGTGTTGTGGGTGGAAACCCCATAAGACATTGACTGATGCGCATTGTTGGGCACCATGTGGAAATTCTTTTCTCCATGCTCACCCTTGCTCACCCTTCTGCTCAGTAAGCGGATGAAATGATTTTTAGTTGAAGTTCTGCGGGTTGCTGGGGTATTGGGAAATGCACGTGACCTGGGGTCTCGTAGTTCCCCAGAGCATGGTTGTTTCTAGAAGAACGATTGAAAACTGCGGGCCCTCAATTATTGCTAGCTAGGGGCAGAGTGACAGTACCTTAGAAGTCATGGATGCTACATCGTGCGCTTAGTCTCTCCTAGGTGGTTGGCTACTGGTTGCCCTAGCGTTTTGATGTATTGATCTGCTCAATTGGATCACGCAGGTAGTCACGATTTGGGATTATACAGTCTCACAACCTTCTTTTTATTTAAGATGATTCTGGGCATCAGTATATAGTCTATTCAAAATGAGACGTGTATAGGAAAGGCACAGCGATCTGACGCAATATAAACAATGATCACAGGCCAGAGATGGGACCCTGATCTGCAAGCACGAGAAATATAACACCTGACGAACAGGCGATTGCCAAATTAGATCCAGACATAGCAAACAAAAATGGATCAGCTGGTCGATATTCGGCAGGCAACCAAAGGAGGTTGACTCCATTATAAGTTATCCAGGAATAGTCATCATTCAAGCCATACCCGTATTGTTCTGAGGTCGAAAACTTCGGAGCGAGCGTAGCGGCAGCAGTGTAGCCTATATCAAATGTACCAGTTGAAGTGTGTAGATGATTGAAATTGACTTTATCAAATTGAACGAAATCGGGGGAGTTGACATGGATGGTTGATAGGCAGTGGCCGGTGGCCGAATCCCAGATCCTGACTGTGTTATCATAAGACCCTGATGCGAGTCGGCTTCCATCCTGAGACCAGGCAACCGAGTCAACCGTACTGCTATGTCCCTCGAGGATTAACACGCACTGGCCAGTGGCTGGATCCCAGATCCTAACCGTGTTGTCACGTGACGCCGACGCGACTCGGTTTCCATCCTGAGACCAGGCAACCGAAACAACCTCCTCGCCATGCCCCTCGAGGGTTGACACGCACTGGCCAGTGGCTAGATTCCAGATCCTAACCGTGTTGTCATAAGACCCTGACGCGAGTCGGTTGCCATCTTGCGACCAGGCAGTCGAGGGGACCCAATTGCTATGCCCCTCGAGGGTTGACACGCACTGGCCAGTGGCTGGATCCCAGATCCTAACCGTGTTATCATATGACCCTGATGCGAGTCGGCTTCCGTCTTGCGACCAGGCGATAGAGGGGACCCCGTCGCTGAGACCGTCGAGGATTGACGCACATTGGCCAGTGGCTAGATCCCAGATCCTAACCGTGTTGTCATATGACCCTGATGCGAGTCGGCTTCCATCTTGCGACCAAGCAATCGAGGGGATGCAATCGCTATGCCCCTTAAGGGTTAACACGCACTGTCTAGTGGCCGGATCCCAGATCCTAACCGTGTTATCATAAGACCCTGACGCGAGTCGGCTTCCATCTTGCGACCAGGCAATCGAGGGGACGCAATCGCTATGCCCCTCGAGGGTTGACACGCACTGGCCGGTGGCCGGATCCCAGATCCTAACCGTGTTATCATAAGACCCTGATGCGAGTCGGCTTCCATCCTGAGACCAGGCAACCGATACCACCGACTCGCTATGCCCATCAAGGGTTAGCGCGCACGGGCTGGTGACTGTATCCCAGATCCTGACCGTGTTATCAGAGGACCCTGATGCGAGTCGGCTTCCATCTTGCGACCAGGCAATCGCTTCGACCGGACCGCCATGTCCCTCGAGGATCAACAAGCATTGACCAGTGGCCGGGTCCCAGATCCTGACCGTATTATCAGTGGACGCTGAGGCTAGTCGGCTTCCATCTTGCGACCAGGCAATCGATCCGACCGGACCGCCATGCCCCTCGAGGATCAACGCGCATTGACCAGTGGCCGGATCCCAGATCCTAACCGTATGATCACGTGACGCCGACGCGACTCGGTTGCCATCCTGAGACCAGGCAACCGAGACAACCGTATCGCTATGCCCCTCGAGGATTGACTCGCACTGGCAAGTATCCGTATCCCAGATCCTAACGGTCTTATCAAATGACGTTGATGCTAGTCGGCTTCCATCTTGCGACCAGGCAATCGAGACGACTGGACCACTATGCCCATTGAGGGTTATCGTGAACTGGCCAGTGGCCGTATCCCAGATCCTAGCGGTGTAATCAGAGGACACTGATGCGAGTCGGTTGCCATCTTGCGACCAGGCGATCGAAGGGACCCAACCGCTACGCCCGTCTAGGGTTGACACGCATTGGCCAGTAGTCGGATCCCAGATCCTGACCGTGTTATCACGTGATGCCGACGCGAGTCGGTTACCATCTTGCGACCAGGCAGTCGAGACGACCGGACCGCTATGCCCCTCGAGGGTTAATGCGCACTGGCCGGTGGCCGGATCCCAGATCCTGACCGTGTTATTACGTGACGCCGATGCGAGTTGACTTCCATCTTGCGACCAGGCAATCGAGACAACCGACTCGTTATGTCCCTCGAGATTGGACGCGCAATGGCCAGTGACCGTATCCCAGATCCTAATAGTCCTATCAAATGAAGCTGATGCGAGTCGGCTTTCATCTTGCAACCAAGCAATCGACATGACCCAATCGTTATGCCCCTCTAGGGTCGACGTGCACTGGCCAGTGGCTGCATCCCAGATCCTGACGGTGTTGGCTGATGCTGATGCGAGTCGGCTTCCATCCTGAGACCAGACAACTGAGACAACTGTATCGCTATGTCCCTTGAGGGTTGACGCATACTGGCCAGTGCCCAGATCCCAGATCTTAACTGTCTTATCAAATGACGTTGAGGCGATTCGGCTTCCATCTTGCGACCAGGCAATCGAGATGACTGGACCGCTATGTCCCTTGAGAGCTAATATAAACTGGCCAAGGGCCGCATCCCAGATCCTGACCGTGTTATCACGTGACGCAGATGCGAGTCGGCTTCCATCTTGCGACCAGGCAACCGATTCAACCGTACTGCTATGCCCCTCGAGGATTGACACGCACTGGCCAGTGGCCGGATCCCATAGCCTGACCGTATTATCACGTGACGCAGATGCGAGTCGGTTTCTATCCTGAGACCAGGCAATCGAGGAGACCCAATTGCTATGCCCCTCAAGGGTTAACGCGCACTGGCCAGTGGCTGGATCCCAGATCCTAACCGTGTTGTCATAAGACCCTGATGCGAGTCGGCTTCCATCCTGAGACCAGGCAACCGAGTCAACCGTACCGCTATGCCCCTCGAGGATTGACACGCACTGGCCAGTAGCCGGATCCCAGAGCCTGACCGTATTATCACGTGACGCAGATGCGAGTCGGTTTCCATCCTGAGACCAGGCAACCGAGACAACCGTATCGCTATGCCCCTCGAGGATTGACTCGCACTGGCCAGTGGCCGGATCCCAGAGCCTAGCCGTGTTATCATGAGACCCTGACGCGAGTCGGTTGCCATCTTGCGACCAGGCAGTCGAGACGACCGGACCGCTATGTCCCTCCAGGGTTTGAAGACATGAACTCCAATCTTTGTCCACGGATGGCTCGTTCAATACCCAATCCGGTCTCTCCTCTTGATAGCATATTCTTGTCAGACTCAACATAGGGCTAAATATCAGGGTCGAACTGTATACTTGAAGGGGGCTACGTTCAATTGCTGGCCTGTGGTATCGAATAAATCGTGAGGCGTCAAGAACTCGATGTAAAAGGGCTGGTGGTTCTCTTTTTCCCTATTGCAGGGGCTCTTAGGTCAGAATCGGAGATATTTCCACTATATTAGAATTTACTCACTTGAAGTAAGCTTTCTAGCTTTAACATAGCTGCTATGCCTTGTGATAGGCTTCCTAGAATGCTCAGTGCTTCAAGCCAGTGAAGGTATTTCTTTTGCAGAAAGCCATCCACACGCCCTCTGGCATCAACGCCGTCATCATTTTTTGCCTGGCATCCGCTATGGTGCAGATGGTCAACCCAATAGACACATGCATATTGTGCAGCTGCTAATGGATTCGGACTAGGTGGTATGACTTTTTCAATCGGGAAACCAGGCTTCTTCAGCTGAAAGATATCGTGCCGAAGTGTCTTAAACATGGCTTGTAGACAGCGAGAGAAAAGTGTGCGGTGTTCAGCTTCTATACCTCTAGAGGGAAACCCGTTTGGCGTCTCTTTGAGTAGAAATTCTTTTGCAGACTGATGGACGAAAATGATAGTGTCTTCGCGCACAGTCAGAAACGAGCCACAAACCGCGATAACCTCTGATAGGGCTTCAGGGTCGTCAGAGAGGTCATTAGGTAGGTCAACAAGAGAGGCTAGTTCGCCAAACGCGATTGGCCGATACACTATAGACATGACAGCCAGTATTCGTTTGCAGGCCTCGGCATCTTCCGAGTTGCGAACCTGATCGATCATCCGACTGTACAACGCATCCAGTCCAGAGGGAAACACCTCCAGCTTCTTAAGAGCGTGCCTCCGCGATGTTCTATCAAGATCTTGACAGACCAACGCTACCCAAAGGAAAGTGTCTTGCGAATTAGATGACAAGTAACGGTAGATCGTATCACGAGTTCCATCGCTATACTTCTTAGTTTTCGCTAGGTAGTGAACCTTGTGTTGAATAAATTTGTTCACAGCTTCAGACACAGACCCCTCATTTAGCTCTAATGAGATCGAAGCGGTCTGGGTGATGTCAAGACGCTCTTCAATATCAGGCCGGTTGCGGCTCGAGACAACCCACTTTACCTTGGGGCAAGCAGACGATATCTGCGTGATCAAGTTGAGAAAGGAAGGCAGGCCCGTTGTGCATTCGTCCAGCGCGTCGATAACCAAATAGGTGCTTTGTAGGGCCGGGTCTTTCAGAATATCCGTGAAGATCCTCGAGAGGGCATTCCATGCGTTTATGTCCTCGAACAATGCTTTCCCCGCTTTATCATACTGTCTCTGTACATAGGAGAGAAGAGATACCTGCTTCTCGACAAGCGAATATATCAAGCCACGGAGAACAGCCGTGGCATTATTTATTCGTACGTCCGTAGCTTGGCAAAAAAAGAACGAGATATTCGCAGTGTCCCCAAATAATCGTGTTAATTCATCGATGATACCACACAGCAGCATTGTCTTTCCTTTGCCCGGATCACCTCTGATCCAGAGGAGACAGTTGCTCTGGTCGTCTTGCCATTGTTGAAACTCCTTGTTGTCTAGAATCCAGCAGTATGAGTCTTTCAGCAGCCCTCCGTTGGTGTTCTGAATACGGTCTTTGTCATGGTGAGGATCGGTCGTCCGCAGATCCCGTAGGCAGGCCTGATTCAATGATGTTTCCGATTGTACTTAGGTAGTCACACCAATTAGTCACATTCCTTTATAGATACTCCTACTCACGGAACTGATTGGTGATATGACCAAGGTTTTGCCCAACTTGGAACCCAGAGTTTGAACCGTCATATGACGTCGTGTATGCCATTATTGTAGCTTTATGATTTTGAGAAGAGGCAGTAGCGAGCTTACGGCTGAGTCGTCAAAGTACCCCGCTGTCAGGTGACCTATCAAGCGACAAGGGAGGGAAGACTCGTCGTTCTGGCATCCCGCTCCTTGTTCTGTCGAAGACGCATTATATATAATTTTCTTCATTGTGGTATTTGCGTAATTTCAGTCAATAATAATTCATCCACCTTGCGCAAGAAGGAATGCTGTCAATATTGAAGTAGTGACTCGTGAGGCATCGAGATATAAGGTATCAGTCGTATGAACATTTCCAATATATTACATCGTAGCTGATCATGTGATTTGGGGTTACAATACGATTCGGAATTTTGAAATTGGTTAAACCAAACAGAGACTAGTGTGTTTCAGGATTAAGTTCGGGAAAGAATCAAAGAGAGTAAAATGGTGAAACTGATTTCGAGCGCGTCTGTAACATACTTCGTACAGTAAGTTAGTCAACTCGGACAACTTGCCGATCCCACAGGGTTACCATTATCAAATCCTAATCGGACTTTTCCCCGGTGACAGGGTGCTGCATCCAATAAAAGTGCGATGTAGGGCGTGTAGGGCGTGGTGTGGGTCAGGGCCGGCAGTGGAGCTTCTTCCACAAAGAAGCCGAAATCTTCATAGGTTGAAGGAACTTACAATATCACCAGCCTGAGACGTCAATTGGTCCTCTATTTCAATGTGGGCTATGGATCCATTCGCGACACAGCTTCTCCAGCCGGAGAACCTGTGACAAAAATTTATCGTCCGGCGTCAATGTTGCTTAAAGCCTGGCCTGAGTCCTGTCTTTCTTTGAATAGGCAGAGAAAGTAGAGAATTTTCTGCCAAAGATGGGATTGGCATCGTCTAATGATTTTCCAGATCCTCTCACTCTCTCGCCGGTGAGTATTATTCCTGCGTCCGGGTCTAATTTCTTCGTAGGTCGCTCGAGCAACACCTTCTAATTCACATGTTTAAACAGATCCGAAAAGTACACATCGTCCTCGCTGGAATCCTATTCATCTTCAATAGTGCCTTTGGATCATCACTTCCCTCAGGCGCCCACGATGCAATTGCAGACTCATTCCACCTCGCCCACGACGATACAAAGCTCGTCCTTCTGAACTCACTATACCTTGTGGGGTTCGCCATCGGTCCACTTATATTTGGGCCTCTGAGCGAGCATGTCGGCCGTAGGCCCGTCCTAATCGGCACATTCAGCGGATATATCATCTTCACCATGGCCTGCGCGTTATCGCCAAACTTTCCTGCCTTGCTCGTTTTTCGCCTTCTATGTGGCTTGAATGCTGCTTCGCCAAATGCCGTACTTGGGGGGTTATATGCTGATATCTTGGATAATCCCCAAACTCGCGGTATCGCTATGGCGCTTTTCATGGTGGTCACAGGGTTTGGTCCTCAGCTAGCACCCCTTGTATCTGGGTTTGTTTCCACGGTATCGTGGCGCTGGACATTTTGGGTGGGATTGGCTGCCGCTGGTGTAGGATATCCGTTTATCCTTTTCATTCCAGAGACCTATGTGCCCGTTTTGAAAAAGCGACATGCGCGACGATTGGCCAAGGCTGGAAAACAGGAACAGAATGGTTGCAACACTATTGAGTCCCAGGGCCCGGGCCATCGAGGAGATGGGATTTTATCCATCTTCATGAGACCATTTGTGATGATTGCAAAGGAGCCGGTCCTTCTCTTTGCTTCGCTTTTCATGGGCTTCACATATGCAATGTTTTATCTGTATTTCCAAGCTTATCCGATCATTTTCCAAAGTAAGACTCCAATTTCTGGAAAGAATATTGGATTAGACCAATCACTGAACTTCTTGGCAGATCTATATGGGTTATCACCGGGCGTAGCAGGGCTCGCATTCTTACCAAGTATGTCAACCCAATCGCGTTTTGTTGTGGAGACTAACATTCTGGTCACAGTCAGTGTGGGGGCTTTGGTCGCATTCTCACTCTTCTTGCTATATGGTTCATACCATTCTAAGGCTGTGAAAGAGAACAAGGCCTGGGCCATGCTTGAAGAGTATCGCCGTTTGCCGCTTGCCGCATTGGGGGCACCTTTGTAAGTCGAATATCTTCTCTTCCATTCCATTAGGAGGCTAACACACCTTAGACTACCAATCGCTCTCTTTTGGTTGGGATGGTCTTCCAAATTGTCCATCCACCCCGTTGTCCCCATGATGTCCGGTCTCTTCTTTGGCATAGGGTACATCCTGATCTTTATGGCCATGATCAACTATCTCACTGATGCCTACAAGCAGTATTCTGCATCAGCGCAGGCTGCTGCAAGTACACTGCGTTCTTGCTTGGCAGTTTGTCTACCGCTGGCCACGAATCCGATGTACGGCGAACTGGGGATCAACTGGGCGAGCTCGCTCTTGGCCTTTATCGCCATTCTGCTTGCTGTGATTCCTTTCGTGTTTATCAAGTATGGCCAATGGATCCGAAGCCGCAGCCCATTCTCTCAGCGGGTGATGAAGGGAGAGTTGACGGAAAGACCAGCAGAGACAGTGGTCTGAGGAGTATAGTACAAAGAACATATAAATTACGAATACTGTACTACACGCGACCATACGGGATACTTCCGCTCTGATTGGTCGGAGCTGTCGGATTTAAGATTTAGGCTCAGCTAGCGCTGTCAGCAGCTTGCAGTAGCGCTGCCACATCCAGGCAACGGTGGTAAATCAGTTAACATTTGGCATTGGCATTGCGTTGGCATTCATATATAGCGGAATATTAACTTCTCGCCTCGACGCGCGCGCCAAGTATTTGTCGCATTCATCAGTTCAGGACACCCGCGAACAATCCATTGCCACTTCTTCAAAAACGGCTCAGTCACCTCCCAGTTCCGAATATCCCAAGGCTCCCCCCATACCAACAGTCCAGAATCCATCGTCGACTCGCCCCAAAATCCCATAATGTCATGACAAAGCTGCTCATCATCCCATTCATCGCCCGCTTCGATCAGATTGTCGCGCATCTTGGGTAGAGGGAAGAAATCCAGCCAGGGGTGATGAGGCACCGATTTTTGGATTCGAGTGGGGCGGAGGGTTAGTGGGATGTGGCTATGATCGTCTGGCGTAGATTCTCTTTGTGGCAAGGCTTGGTTGAATGGAGATACAGCGTCATAGTCCATCCAGTACGGTGACCAACCGATCAATTGTAGATTCTGTGCGAATGCTCGGAAGACGTTGACTTTGGTCAGGGTCATCAGGTGGTCGGCGGTGGGATCACCGCGTGCGTAGCTTTCAATTGCTGATTTGGCAAATCGTTCCAGTAGATCTTGCAGAACTCCGGGGGTGCAGCAGGATTTCACCTTGGAGCTTTCTGAAGTGGCGGAGTCCTGCGACTGGGGCGATGTCGACTTGGTCGATTTGACCAGACTCTTAGGGTGAATGTCTTTGTTTTGGAGCCGCTTGCGCTTCCCTGTATCCAGGTTAGTGCCTGTTAGATTCACTAGATTGACTGGGGTAATGCAGCTTACGGTAGGCCCTCTGGTTGATGCGGTTCTGCCGTCGCCGACGCTCAACCGGGTCGGTCAGCCCTGACCAGTTGTCTTCCACTTCATCTGAGGAGATTGGATCGGCAATTTGGGCAGAGGAGTCAGTCATGTTAGCGGGGAGGGTGTCAGCAAGTTGAAAACGACAGAAGTGGCTTTATGAAAGATGCGCAGGTGGAGTAAGGTTTTTAAATTACGACGGAGTTAAGAGATAGGGTTTGGTATGGTCACAAACAGTACGATACCCCTTGCATCATCTATGTATTCACCCGAAGATATCCCGATCATCGAAACTCAGCATATGCAAAATCAGCAGGGGTCAGGCATCGCTGTCGCTCGCCAAAGGCATAAAGACCCAGCATCATGCCTGTAAAGTTGGCGCCGACCGGTGGTGCTTTCGTTGCAGCACTATTCGCGACTGAGCCAATCCAATGGAAACTAGTTTCGGTGTCCTCTCGATAACCGAATCGATATTCGGTGCCACATTCGATTGTGAGAATGATGCCTGTTGCTGCACCAAGGCCACACTCCACTGTTTCCCCTTCTGACGGGCGGAACAGGATACAACGGCCCTTTTCGCTCTTGCGAATGCCGAGACTGCTGTAGGTAAAGTAGTTCATCCAGAGCACAGTTCCTGCTTCCGTGGCATCTGCGGTGGGGTGGAAGGAAAGACGTGTCTCCCATGTGCAGTGTCGATGGGTTTGCTTGCGGAGGAACATTGTTGGGCAGGCTGGCACCGACAGGTTATAGGGACCGCCGTAGAGCCGGAGATGTCTCGGCCGCTCAGTGAGCGAGTAATCCGTGATAAACGGCGTGTCTACTGATGATCAGCCAGATTCAAGTGTTGGCTCGTTTAAGTATTTACTCTTTCTATACCATCCCAACTGCATTTCCTGAGCAGTGAATTCATCTCTCCAAGAGACTGGAGTTTCGAGTTGATAGAGACCTGGCCCGTGAGATTGAAGCGTAATCTTTTGTCCTCCGTTGATGACAGGCCAGTCTTGCTCCCAGTTCAAAGGTACCAAAAAGGTCTCTCGGCCTATCTTGATCAGTATCATGGCTGATAATATCTGGGAGCACTTACCCAGCACTGATTCCTCCCATTGGTCGTCTCGTCGTAGAGGACGAACCCCGAGCATAACAGCCCACCATTGCCCTTTGGTATCCTCAACCAAATCTGCATGTCCTGTGTTCTGGACTTCGTCCTCGACACCATTGCGCCAGAGTGGGTTGTTTGGCCCGAGTTCCCACGGCCCCAGTGGCCCAACCTCGCTGCGGCTTACCCATTCCGAATGTCCACTTTCAGTGCCTCCCTCGGCCGTAAACAGATACCAATAGCGTCCGCGCTTGAAAATATGTGATCCTTCGGCAACCCCAGAAGATGATTCGCGGATCAATTTCGGCTCGGACGTGGAATGGCCGGTGTTCAGATCAATGATACATATGTGAATTGCGAAATCTTTCAATTTTGCACCAGGCGTTGGTTGGAGTTTTCGGTAGGTAGTCGATAGATATACGATTCCATCATCGTCCCAAAATAGCTACTCCTTGTCATTCAGTGTTCGTAATGCCCTTGTTCGCAACTCACATCTTGGTCAAAACCAACTTGATCAAAGTAAATAGGATCCGACCATGTTTTTTCATTCCAAATATCGGTTGTCTTGACATAAAACCCTTGTGGCCAAACTCGGTCATCTTGTTGTGGGCGATAGCGCTGAAAGCTCGCTGCAATGATATAGTAGACACCGCGATGATACCGAATTGTAGTTGCCCATACGCCACCTCCAGGCTCCGGTGTATGAATTTGAAGCTGGCTGCGCCTTGTTAAGGCATGACCAATTAACTTCCATTCGATCAAATCCCGACTATGGTAAATAGGAGCTCCCGGGAAATATTCAAAGGTGGAAGTGACCAGGAAAAAGTCTTCATCCACACGGATGATTGACGGGTCGGGGTTAAACCCTGGGATGATTGGATTTGTATAACTCATTGCAGTCAAGATGGTTGATGGCGCTGACCTGCTTTATATAGAACTGAGGTTGACCTGATTGGTGGAGAAACAACATCCCAAACAGCCAAAAGGTGGGTTGGCTCGTATTGCGGGGTTAGCAGGGACGATTGACCGATGTTAATCTTTCATGTACATGTAGTTTCGAATCAGTAAAGTTATGTTGAATATAGTTAAGAAAAACAAGTTAGTGTTCTACGATGACATCGAGCTCGAACCCAATCGATGTATGTGGTCAAGCGACGTAATAAGGTTTCAAGCGAGCTTCGAGCGAGCTTCAAGCAACGAGAAGTCCAAGCCATGAAAGATCAAGATCTCAAATATCCGGAGAGATACGAAACAAGAAAAAGGGAAAATGCCGAAGTTGAACCTTCTCCGACATTGTCCCCTCACTCCGACCCGAATGCGGGTCGGACCTCCGCCCCATGTGACGTGCAGCTTTAATGTCTGTCATTCTCGTTTCTGGTTGACATCCAGCTAGTTCGTCTTCAACTGAGCTTGAGCTCTCGGCACCATGTCTACCTGTGTGACTCAAGAATCGCATGATGTGAGTTTCTTCACGCTCGAGGCCCTGCCTCGCCAGCATTCAGATGCAGATTCAACGCCAAGCCATCCCACCGATGGGTTCCCCGTGTTAGAAAGGTGGAACCAGAACAGTCTCAACATATATCGAACATTTGCAACGTTCTGGTGTTTTCTCGTGATGGGAGCTAATGATGCTGCTTATGGTGTGAGTTGGCTAGTGAAAAGATACGCAGGCTTTTGTGGTGATTGCTAACTGAATGCAGGCCATAATTCCATATGTAAGACCCCTCGTGACCAATGTGTCAGGTTCTAACGTGGATACAGCTGGAATCATATTATCACCTCTCCTATACGGTAGTGTCTCTCGTTTTCTTGTCGCCTCTGGTAGGCTACACAATCGCGGCCTTTCTCAACCAGCGCATTCACAACGCCTTTGGACAGCGCGGTGTGGCCCTTCTCGGGTCAGGGTGCCATCTCCTTGCCTACGTGATTAACTCTGTTCACCCACCATATCCAGTACTCGTTGTCTCGTTTATCTTTGCAGGATTGGGGAATGGTGTTGAAGACGCTGCCTGGAATGCATGGATTGGTAACATGGCCAATGCAAACGAGGTGCTGGGGTTTCTGCATGGAATTTACGGGGCTGGGGCAGTCATCAGTCCGTTAATCGCAACCTCGATGATTGCGAAAGGTGGCCTGCCGTGGTATTATTTCTATTATGTCATGGTGAGTCTGTCTTTTCCCGCAGAGCACGAGCACAGCTTAATAGTCAGGTTGGGTGTGCGGCCATCGAACTCGTGGTTTCCAGCGCCTGCTTCTGGAAATCCACCGCTGCCGAATTCCGGGCAGCGAACAGACAGTCGGTTGAGGAAAATAAAAAGGGCGGCCTCAGGGACGCACTCTTCAAACGTCCATCGGCCCGGGTCACATGGCTTTGTGCTTTGTTCCTGCTGGGCTATGTCGGTGTCGAGGTCGCCCTCGGAGGATGGATTGTCACCTTCATGATTCGAGTCCGACAAGGAGGTGCTTTTGCCAGCGGCATGACTGCCACCGGGTTCTGGCTCGGCATCACAGTGGGACGAGTGATCCTGGGGTTCGTGACGCCCCGGGTGGGTGAAAAGATTGCCATTTCGGTGAGATCATCCCGCGTCTCCCATGAGATCTAGTACTGACCATTGCTAGGGATACATTGTTTGTTCGATGGCCTTTGGTCTCGTTCTGTGGCTCGTGCCCCACTTCTATGCCTCGGCCGTGGCAGTCTCCTTGCAGGGTTTCTTCCTGGGACCTCTCTTCCCAGGGGCTATTGTGATGCTCACCAAGCTTCTGCCCCGACATCTCCACGTCACGTCGATTGGGTTTGTGGCCGCGTTTGGGGGCAGTGGAGCAGCAATTCTCCCTTTTGCGGTGGGTGTACTGGCACAAGCCAAAGGCGTCAAGGTGCTGCAGCCGTTCATCATTGGCCTGTCAGGCGCCATCCTGATTACATGGCTGGGACTGCCGCGGGTGAAGTTCAGCAGGGAGTAAAGGGTCACATGAGGCCGCGGTGGTGTGGTGCTGTTCAGTGGTGCCATTGCAGTCAGTGGGTTCGCTACGGGGGCTGCCTTGCCGAAAACAGACGAGATGCAGGCTGGATTTGATAAGCTCGTTAGGATGGCAAATTGTACGATGGCAGAGGAGTGGAATAGGGTCCGGTGATAGATAGTGGCTTTCTGCAGAGACCTCCTACTTAGGAGATTCGGGACGGGAATTATGTCCGTGTGCCTCTTCTATTAGGTAGTAATTCGGACGAGGGTTTGATAAAAGCGACGGCGTCGGGATACTTTCCTAATAGAACGAATAAAACTACGGTCTTACTCGAGACCAGCTTCTCTCTCTTATAACATTCTATTATCAAGCAATTGCTAGATCTCTACCTAGAGGACGGAAAAAGAGAAGCCCCGCCCTACTCCCTCTCTCTAGACTTCGCCTAGTGCTAGATAATGAATGCCGTTAGTCTCCCCTACGGCTCTTAATACCGCCGCTCCGCCGTTATACTAGGCGATTACGTCTCGTAATACGCCCTAACGGTATATAGATCCCACTCGTCGCGTATCTCCCTTTCTATCATTGTTTTCTTCTTTCCTCTCTTCTCCACTTGCCCCGTCCGAGAAACCGAACCAGAAAGAAAAAGAAACCGCGAAGGACCTTCGCGTCTAAGAAGAAATGCTCTGACGCATTCAAGCAGAAGCGACTCACTCAAACAGACGTTCCCCTCTCCCATCTCCGAGAGTACCTCCGAAAGGATCTCTGCAGATTTACCCGTCAGACCGAACTCCTCTCTTCTCCCCCCCCTCCAGTCTTCGCCATGTCTTCTACACGATCCGGCGCTGAAGCAGCAAAGAGGAACAGCCAACCAGACGATGAATCGGGGAGGAAGCCGCGAACAGACCATTCCGAGAGTGCCTCGCCGTTTCACCCTCGTCTTACCCGACAGTCCGAGGAAAAGCTCCGCCCGGGCTTTACCGTCGTGAGGCCGGGTGTCCGAAAGACGTCCTCGCAGGACTGGGGAAAGAAAATAGACAAGGCCGAGAGAGAGCGGGATGATTCTGGCGAAAGATATCCCTCGCCAAACGACCATCTCCTCAACCAAACAACCTCCTCGGTGGGCACTCCACGGTTCGACCCACGACAGCGCAAGGCGAACAAGCAGCGATGGGGACTGAAGGCGCCGCCACTGGGCGTAAAGACCCGTGCGAAACTCGCTGCCGAAATAGCAGATGCACAAGCTGCTAGAGAGAAAGCCGAAGCAGACAGAGTCGCAAAAGATCTAGGAAAAGGTTCCTCAGCGTGGAAACCGGGAAGACGAGCCCTCGATGACCTTCTCGACCCTGCACCCCTCGCCCCAGAACAGATCGAGGAACGGAAGTTCCACCCGTCAATTGGCATTCTGCCGAGGGGGATCTTTGGAAATGCCTCCCTTTGGACCGCAGCATTCGGGACTGCCAGTGGGCACCCTCCGACCGGATGACATGTTAGCCGATCCCAATCTTGACAACGATGAGAAATTGCTACGCAAGAGAGTGGTCTGTCACAATTTCGATAACGACGGTAACGCTCACTGGAATGTCGAGAACATAAACGTTCAAGGAAAGATTCCTGGTCTTGGACCATCCCACGTCCCGGCAAAGGATAGGAGGTTAGCCACCGTCACTCAAAACGTGGACTTCTTCCAAGAATACGAGGGAGAATTTCGGGACTGGACCAAGCACGGGTCTGATCTCTGGAGACGCAACGAACGAATCTACAACTGGATGGACCGGTTTTGGCACATGGAATGGGCCCCTAGTTGGAACTCTGCTAGCCAAATGACCAACGATAACGGGAAACGGGAGCAATGGATCCGGCAAACGGCCAGGACCAGTGACGATAATCATTCCATTCCCTTCTTCACAGACGAACAAATGGGTCCGGATCCAAAGGACCGGAGAACTCACCTTATAGATCGAGTGGATGGCGCCTAGTTCCGTTTTATGCGCGAGATTTCCGAATGCAACAAGAGAGCACGAGAAAACAACTCCCTAGGATCCTGGGAGCTCCTCCAAGAGCGAGCGTACCATTTCAAGCGGACTCGCGAATTCATGAGCCAGGTCTGTGATGAGATAGATATTCGCTACGGAGAGCTGGAATACACTCTCCAAACGGCCAAATTCCTCATCCGAGCTGGCGGCGATCCGAAGAGGAAGCTCGAGAAACTGATTGCACCCAGTCTTCTAAAAGGACCCACGACCTCCCTTAATCTCGGGGAATTGACTCTTCCGATCATCTCCGAAGGACTCCTAGGTGACGTCCAAGTCTCCTTCAACCCAAAGAAGGAACTCGTCAAGCAAGATGTCCTCTCTGGATTAGAGGCCGCCCAGCTACCAAGGTCGGTCCTGGATATCGAAAGGCGAAGGCAGTATCGAAAGAAGCTATCGAAGGACATGTGACTGAGCGCTGGTTCTGTGATCCTCAGAGAACACTACGTACCTGACGACTCCGACGGGAATCGAGCGCCAGAGCAGCCTCTAATGCCACATCTACTGAAGGATCCCAATTGATCGTTCTCAGCAGCGGCGAAGAAGACCTCGACCAAGAGCCTACTACTCAGGAGGATGACTCTCTCGACGCACGAAGCGAAGCATCCGCAACCGGCAGTGAACCTGAAGTTCTGATAGCAGAAGAAATCCCTGACTTCGATCTAGAAGATGTTCTTCCTGCTACGCGGACCGCAATCTTTATGCATCTTCCTGGAATTCGACAAGCGGAATATGACTGGCTACGCAAGCACGGCGTTTCAGAAGAAGTGGCCGGATTCTGTCTCGAAAGGACCAGTCAAGGTCCAAGGATCACGAACGAAAATCGCAAGACTGCCATTACGAACCACAACTTCCTGCATAGAGCTCTCGCACAGGATGCTTCAAGACACAGGTTGCCTGGGGAAAGGCAAGGGACGGGCGAGTTCCGAGAAACCTGCGCCGATAGATAAGACTGCTCAGAAGGCGAAAGGTCTTGCAGAATAGATCACGGAAGCGAAAAAAGCCGAAGGAAAAAAGAAACGCCTGCGCCAGGCTCGAATTGCCAAAGGAAAGTCTACTCCCGAGGCCAGACCAGGACCGTCTACACGCGAAACACCTTCTCCTCGAGTCCGAGTAGAAATTCCTTCTCCTTTTCAAGCCCGAAAGAAAACCCCGACTCAAGAAACCGAGTCGCCTAATTTGACCGTCAGACAAGGCCTCAACATTACGAACCTGCTGGGACGGATCCTTCAAAGAATGGATACTCAGGACCGGAAGATCGACGACTTCCTCGACAACCACCAGTGAATGTTTCGATGAAATACAGACACAACAACCACTACCACGAAGGCTTCTTCTTTTGGGCGGGTCGCCCATGTCCGAAAGGGGGAGCCTCTGACGGAAGGATTAATCCGCGGAGGGACAAGCATGAATAATCACGTGACAATACGTGCCCTCGAAATGTATTCTTAACTCTTTCTTCGTGCATCACGCGAGAAGATTTCCAACAATAATACTGCTGCATTTCATCTCTTTCCATCCTCGTAGACCAGGGATTCCTTTATCTAGAAGCTGCTACGCCTCGTGGAGTCCGAATCCTAATGTCTTAGTCCATTTAGAAGGTACTACGTCAACTGCCTGTTTAGGTGTCGGGGTTATACGGTAGATTTGACTCACCCGCACCCGTCATAGAATGACCTCTCAAGTGACCAGAACTTCCTTTTCACACGCTTCCTTTTCGTCTTCGTCCATCCTCTGTCTTCTATCTGATTTTATCAAAGACTCCTCAGATTCATATTCCTCATCAGCGAACTGTGGAGAATAGATTCGTTAATTCCTACGTGATTCATCACGTCCTCATCGAGGCTCGTGGTTTGTTTCGCCGTCTCGCCATCTTCCTCCATCACGTCCTCATCGAGGCTCGTGGATCAGACTGTCCGTTGCCTTCATCATCCATCTGTCAATCTCTCTCTCTTATACCGTGCGCCATGACGTCGCAACCTCCAAAGCAACCGCTCGTCCAGGGTGGACATCCTCGTTTATTGAGAAAGCTTCCGTCAATGTTTGTCTCCAATACGCTACCATGCATCCACGACAACACAATCATTCTTGCCGCCACACATCCAAACCTTTCAACTGCGAATCCAAAAGAAGATGGGTGGTTTGTGTCCGATTTTTACGCTTTCAATATTCTCCTGAAGGGCCTTGGGGGAAGCCAAACCTGGCTCACAGCGGCCGATCCGGAGAAACTGGTGCAGAGGTATAATTCCTTTCTCCACGGCAACCCATTTCAAGACCGAAAGGTTTGCCTAGATCGCGAGATACTTCGGAAGAAAAAGATCACTGAAGTAACTGTGGTTCGCTCAAGCGATATGATCGATCGGTTTCTTGAGAAGGCGAAAGAGGCATCGGAGCTAGCCAAGCGAAATTGTGCCCCCCTGCTTTTGCTCGTTTTTTGTCACGGTCTTCCTAATCACCACTTGTTACTGGATGCTGGCGATCAATCGAGGGGGCTTAGCATAATCCGTCTGAAGGGTGTGCTTGAGCCGGGCACATGCGTCACTCTTATCACAACTGCATGCTATTCCGGAGGATGGGCAACGTCTCCCGACCTTAACCAGACTACGATCACAGCAGCTGGTGATGAGAAGCTAAAGGAAGCCACCTCTCACTCCTGGAGCCAGTCTCCAAGCATCGGGAGATTCTGCGGGTCTGTGTTCGCCAGTACCATGTTTAAGACTTTGTCTAGTGCGGCAAGTCCTCTCCTAGAAGCTGGCCTTGCTTCCGACCTGTCCCAGGCGCAACAATCCCTACAGCCAGAGAACCCTAATAGTGTCCAAACCTTGACCTATAATGCCTTCTGTGAGTCTGTGTGGCGCACATGCGCGAACAGCGTCACGCGACTTTGGAGTTCCCAAAACTTCAATTTCAGTGCCAAGGACGATGCCTGGGAATATTCCTGGACAGGGCGAACTGGCTTTCCGTTAGCCGATTTCAGCGAGCGATGGAACGCACTGAAATCCATCCCATATACCGGTTCAGAGGAGCTACGTGCTCTGCGAGATCAAGATCCAAGCAACCCGTCGTTCTCCGCCTCTGGTCCCGTTAGATCCGGCTTAGGAGAAAATGTGATGGATGAAATGACAGGCCACATTGCACAAAAAAGACTGAAAGATATGGCCAGAGTATTTGATCAGACCTGCCCGGGTGACCACAACATGGGAAGAGAGACTGGCTTCTGGGGAAAGCTCCGTGGGTTCTACGAGTACGGGGAATTCGAAGAACACGCTGCGATGATTGAGGGAGCGATCCGGTTTCGATGGGAATCGGCGTTGCTTGCGGACTTTATTGTCGAGATGCTCAATCTTCCGGTGCCCAATGGCGAAATTTGTATCATGTGGGATTGGATGGCGTGGAAATATGTCAAGTTGGAGACTATGGCGAGAGATGACCTCCGCGCCTGGAGTCTCCCGATCTATCGGAAGCTCATCCCACATTTCGAAGCCCCCAGCTATAAGGAACAAGGGCCCCCCTTCGAACGACCAGTTGAATACGTGGTCGCGGCGTTGATGGATGCTAGTATGCCTGAAGGCGAGCTTGCGGCTAATATTCTCGCGATTATTGAGTTTATGGATTTAAGTCGGGCTTGCAATCAACAACGCCTATGTGGGGATCGGGAGGTTCGTCAGAGAGGCCGTGAATGGTTGAGAACAGTTGGCAAGCGAGCCCGGCAGTCGCTTTCCCCGCGGAAAAGGCAGAGCATAAGTGATTCAACTTCTTGTGAGAACGTCACTATCGTTTAGCTCTCGCTTCGTTTGCTCAGGATGCTTAGCTCTCGCTTAGTTTGCTCAGGATGCTTTCTTTCTTTGTTAGTTTAGTTATTTGTTCAACGTCCTGCCTTGCTGAAAAAATCAAAGCGGGGCATCCAATTATAAGTCAATACACCCGTTGCATATCCAAATTACTCTGCATAAGACAAAATACAGGCCCCACTGACAGAGATGCTCCGAAAAACTCCCAATATAGACTATTTTTGTCGGCTGTCGTTGGCTGGGAGGATCAGGAGATACACCCTCCGAAGCGCCGAGTCTAAGAACCCATCCCTCAGAGTCAGGCGCAGTAGCGGCGTGGGTACTGACGAAGGGAATCTGTGGCTTCGATGCAGTGCACAAACCCCCCTGGGTTTCACACCAATCACGTTCGGCACTTGATCCTCAAGATTCTTGTCTCCGTCGTATTTCCTGGAGTCATTTTCCTCGGGATACTTCTCTGACTTTCAAGGAGATGATGAATTTGATAGAACAAGGGAATTAATTGATGAAAACTATGGATACATAAATCGGCAATAACGTCCGCAGGTCACCTGGTGACCTGGAAGAATCCCTCGCCGTTCATAATCGGCCTGTCAAGTACGGTCCGCGAGGCGCTTGAAACGTATGCTCAGTCTACCCTTAGTCTGGTTGTTTTTAAAGGGCGAGAGAGTGAAAATTGGGCTAGGAAAAAGCCCAGGTTAGCTTAGCTCTCATTTGTCACTTCTTCACTGACTCTGAGCTCGGCGTCCTCCATGCATTGAAGAAGGGAGATATGGTCATTATCGACTTTTTGGCGATGGCTTGTCGCCGCTTCGCTGACTCGGCTTGAGGGGCCTTTAGGCTTGTTCGCCAAGGACCTAGTTGCCCTGGTGGATATTTTATTCATAGTAGGATCAGGCCTTCCTCTCAGGGCCATGCTCGGACATTGGATTGTGTTGCAAGCAATTCCGCGTTTGTGGAGAAGTGTTGTAGAATGAGGGAAGAGGGAAGAAAAAAGAACAGAACCAGTTCTTTAAAGTAGTTAGGCAATCACATTACGAGAGCGCGAATGATTAGAATTATATTGTTGCGATTGGGTAGCCAGAGCTGCTTGCCTGCGATGCAAAATCTGTCGAGAGGCCAGCTGTCAATCAATCAATCAATCAAAGTTGTATTAACCTGTTGGAGCCTAACTAGTGTCGTAATGGCTATGCAGGCGCTTCTATCCGTTGAAGCAAGAACTCGTGTCCGTACACCTGATCATGCTCCAGTACAAAGTGAGGCTGGTTCTCAAAGAGTGGAAGCACCAGCCCATTATATGTAAGCCAAACCCATAAACCCGCAAATGCGTCGAAAAAGCCTAGTACAAATGAAAATTCAGTGCCAGTGATGCATTGAATACAAAATGAGCGCGTGGATGCACCTCCACCTCCCCTGTCCCTGTCCTCTTCTCACGTTCCATGTGAGTACCTCCGCATCATGATACCAGCCAGTTCGTACTGGTGCAGATCAAACCCCGTTCTCCGACATCCTCACTTCAGCCTCGATTGCTGTTCATTGTTATTTCAGGCCGTTCAAGGATCGCCCAGTCAGGCAGCGTGTATTCGACTAGCTCATCGAGGTTCTCTCCACCCTCGACGGTGTTGGCAAGCATTGGTGAGTGCCCATCGTCTTCGGGACTCTGCTCCATGACCTCAAGGTCTCCTAATTCAGCCTCGGACTCTTCTTGCTCAGCGTGTTAAAACTGAGCAAGAAGACCGGTTTGGTGCATGAATTTGGCAATGTAGCGGGTTGCCAGCGGGTTAGAGACGATGCTGTTATAATTGGACATCTTGAATGGCCCAATTGCTCGATGTAACTGGTCAAAAAGCCTCTTTCTCAGTACTCCGAAGGTCTCACATTGAAGCAAAAACATGCCTCGGCGTCTGAGAGCCTTCTCCACAGGGGCACCTATCAGAATCCACCTCATTGATCATATACAAGAAGTGCCGGAGCGCAATACGCATCGAGCGTAATTGTATCATGATCGATGAGCGTGGCTTCGACAGGCATTCGTACAACCTTAGAACCTTCTTGTTCGGCTATTCCACTAAGCGTTTTGTGGGCTGAGCGGTCCTCTCGCTCTCCCACTGCTTCTTCCAGCGGTCCTAGATCCACTCATGGACTATTCGCTTGGCAGCGGCAGCAAGTCGGATCGTAGGTTTATCCGCTCTGCCTCCGCCGGTCGCACCTCCCGCACTTTCGAGTGCCGCGCATTTCGCACTGCCATCGGCAGCTTCATTGCCAGGCACTCCGACGTGTGCGGGGATCCAACGGAGAGTGATGTTTGTGGATTGCGATCGAAGGGCCCGTACGTGTTCATAAATGCCTCTGAGAATGTACTAGCCCGATGGTCGCTGTGGGTTTTGGACCGCCTAGATGGCGGCCTGGCTGTCGGAGAGAATGATCACCTCTCGAGCCGTTTTTCGCTTTGATCCATTGATATTCGTGTTGGACTTGTTGTCGCTGATGGTTTTAGCCAATGCCATCTCGATACCGCTGAGCTCGGCGGTGTACACCGTGGACTGGCTCTCCGTACCGAGACGTCTACGGTCGGAGATGACGGTATCACCGGCCTTCGAAGCCACTGCCGTCGGTGTATATCAAGGAAGCGGTGTCTTCCTTGGTTCTCTTATCTTTGAGAATAGATTTATGGGTTGCCAATACAGCCTCCGAGGGTTCGATGAAACATGAGATGCGTCTCTCCCAAGGTGGCAGAACAAATGCAACCTTTTCCTCCCATTCCTCTGCACAGTCCAATTTGATCGGTCCCTTCTTCCAGACCAATGCTTCCAACGGGGTCTAACCTCCAATGCGCCGCTCGATCTGCTTCCTGGTCACTTTGGCCGATCGGGGGCAGGCCCATTGAGGTCCAGTAAGGATGCGAATAGCGCATTCTTCAATGCTTTGTTGTAGGCGTAACTTCATGGTAGTAGGAAAAGCTCGATGTCCAACGCAGCCGTGGAAATGCTTTTAAACGTGCCGCTGATCAAAACAGCCGCACGTTTTTGCAGTTTCACTAGCTCATTAACCAAGCGAGCTATTTCCAAGGCAGGCATCTTGCGCGCAGCAGGGCAATACCAGGCAGAGATACCCTATAGGGCTTGTGGCACAATAACAGCCTGGTAGAGCTTACGCATGGATATCAAGGATACACCCCACGTAGACCCTGAAATACCCCGAAGAGCTTCTAGGCTGCCAGCCGCCTTAGCAAGCAGCTTTTTGCGGTGTATGTGGAATTTGAGGTGCTTGTCAAGCCAAATGCCGAGGTATTTGGCGTATTCTAATGGTTGTATCGGTGCTCCGCCTAGCACTGCCACTGGGATCTAATCGTGCCCGCAGGGGTCATCGGGGACGGCCTAGACATCGTATTCGGAGGGAGGACTCGGAGAAACCGTCTGGGCGGAGGGCTCGATACGCGGATTGCTGTAGTGGATTAGTTCGAACTTGTCGGGTGCAAACCTTGCTGCATGACGTTTGGCCCACTGGTCGGCTCTCTGGAGAGCTTTCTCAATTAGCCAACGTTCTCTTCATAGCTGTTTGAGACAGCTAGAATGCAGACATCATCCACCCAGCCGAAGGCCTCAGTGTGACCGTAGCCAGTCGGGAATGAGCAGCTCTTAATCAACGGAGCGTTGAATAGAAGAAAGAGATTTGGCGATATTGGAGATCCTTGTGGGATCCCTGTTAGTGTAGGAAACGCGTTGCTTAGGTGGCCAGGTAGCCGGATCCGAGTACTACGGCCGGTGAGAAAGGCCTTAGTCCACGGGGTTATTTCGGAAATGCCCATTTAACGCACATTATGAAGAAGACGTTCGTGGGACACGTTGTCGTAAGCGCCAGCGACGTCTAGTAATAGCATGCTTGCTTTCTGACCCTGGCCATGGCCCTAAGCAGTGTGAACCCGATCTAAGATCAGCTGAATTGCATGGTCCACATCAATGGTTCTTCCTCCCGGTCCGATCGTGATTGCAGTTCCGAGGAACCAATCGTCGATTTATCCCTACGTTGCCTCACTTAAGGATCATTTCTCCGGTCTTCTCGTCGTGGGGAACCTCCCCTGCTTATTCATTCGGAACGGTGCTTAGGCCGTGGATGAACCTTCGGCTAAGCAAGCTGACGGACGCGACTTGTGTCGCGGCGCTATCCCACAGAACTCTTTCTATAGTTGCTTCGCCTGGTTTGAATCCCCATTCGCGAAGTCCAGGAGTTCCTGGCGATTCTCAGCGATTTGTTCGTAAAGAATAGACGAGACGATATCGAATGCAGAGCCGGGGGCGGGCTGTAAAATATTCGGTTCCCCTGTCTCGAGACATGACATAGATTTGTTTTTGGTATTTTGTGGGTTTCTCAGTGGATCGAAATCTTGATAAATCATAGATTGAACTTTCTTGGCGATGCCGTTTCCTAGGTTCGGAGACCTAATCCCTCCCGATCGTCTTATGAGCCCTATACGACCGAGGGTTCTTCTTAGGGGCGACTAGTTTTCCTCCTTGTCGGAGAAAGGTTTGTGGTCCACCTCGTCAGTGACTCTTTGGAGGACGTCATTCACGTCTTCTTCCTCGAGATTCACCATAGGAAGTTCTTGGTAAGGTTCGATCGGGACCATTTGGCCGCGTTTGGGGGCAGTGGAGCAGCAATTCTCCCTTTTGCGGTGGGTGTACTGGCACAAGCCAAAGGCGTCAAGGTGCTGCAGCCGTTCATCATTGGCCTGTCAGATGCCATCCTGATTACATGGCTGGGACTGCCGCGGGTGAAGTTCAGCAGGGAGTAAAGGGTCACATGTGAATATTCTTATCAGATCGGATCCATGTGATGCAGTCAGCTGATCAGCTTATTCATCCCGTGATATCGCCGATCGCAATCGGTTAGCTGATCTCGGGTTCCGAGATGCCGAGCTGGATTCATGTTTGCCCCGGCTACCCCAGAACAGATGAGTCGGTAGTTGTGCGGGGGTTTAAAACCACGGTAATTCGGGGGTAGAAATGCCTAGGTTCTCCATTCCCCATAGCCCCCATAGCTAGTCCATAGTGAAGAGAGACAGATGTAGCCGGAAGTCCATTGCCATTCCTGATTGGCCCCAGTTCAGCCGAGGCTCTTCCCTGATTGGGACGGATGTCCCTCGGCCTGGGGAAACGTCAGTGACTTGTCCACGGGTTCATAATCCCTGACTCTCCTCCTTCTTTGTTTCTCACATTCCCCCAATTTACACATCATGCCATCTACTCCTGAATGGGTCAAGGCCCTTAAGCCGTCGGGTCCACAGGGCTCCGAGCTGCTCCAACAGGAGCGTGCTCAATCCAACGTGAACGTGGAGAAGCTGTCCGAATTGCTGCACACAAAGGAATCATTACAGCGACAGGAATCCCTCCTGGCCCTGTTACAGCCCGAGAAGGTCTTTGATAAGTCGCAAAACCACACGCTCGGCCGAGTGGAGCGGCTGCAGCGGTCGTTGGCCAAGGCCAAGCGCCTCCAGCAGCTGTCTGAGCAACACAAATGGTCAATGGAGGAGCTCCATGCGGCCAATGAGTTGATCGGAGAACCCACACCCTATGGCTTGCACGCCAGTATGTTCCTGGTAAGTGATCCAATCCTCGCAGCCACTGAACAAAACTAACCGGTTTCCCGTCTTCTAGGTGACCCTCCGGGAACAGGGCACCCCCGAGCAGCACAAGCTGTTCCTCGAGCGCGCTCAGAAATACGAAATCATCGGCTGCTACGCACAAACCGAGTTGGGCCACGGATCCAACGTCCGCGGTCTCGAAACCACTGCCACCTGGAACTCCAGCGATAAGACCTTCACCATTAACTCGCCCACATTGACTGCCTCCAAGTGGTGGATTGGATCTCTCGGTCGCACCGCCAACCATGCGGTTGTCATGGCTCAGCTGTTTATTGACGGCAAAAACTATGGCCCGCACCCATTTGTGGTGCAAGTCCGTGATCTGGAGACCCATCAGCCCCTGGAGAATGTGTATGTGGGCGATATTGGTCCCAAGTTTGGATACAAGTAAGTTCCGTCTGGCCACCGTGATAAGTACCGTGGCTAACATGATATCCAGCACTATGGATAACGGATTTTTGCTGTTCAACAATGTCAAGGTGCCCCATGTCAACATGCTGGCCCGTTTCTCTTCCATTGACAAGGACACCAACAGCTACTCCCGGCCTGCTCTTCCCTCCTTGGTCTTTGGTACTCTGACCTGGGTGCGATCTAACATTGTCCTCCAGGCTGGTGGAGTCCTGGCCCGTGGTGTCACCATTGCGACCAGATACTGTGCGGTCCGGAGACAGTTCCAGGATCGCGATGCGGACGCCCATGCTGGCGAGAACCAAGTATTGAACTACAAGATGGTTCAGGTCCGTCTGTTACCGCTTCTGGCATCCATGTACGCCCTCCACTTCACTGGCCGCGGCATGATGCGTCTGTACGAGGAGAACCAAAGCCGCATGAAGGCAGCCAACTCTCCCGGACAGGACTCACGCGGTGCTGGACCCGAGGAGCTCCGAGCTGGTGCGAACCTCCTGGCGGATCTGCACGCTACCTCATGTGGTCTCAAGGCTTTGGCCAGTACCACTGCTGGTGAGGGCTTGGAGGTCTGCCGTCGCGCATGTGGTGGTCACGGATACAGCAGCTACAGCGGCATTGGCCCGTGGTACTCGGACTACCTGCCCACCCTGACCTGGGAGGGTGACAACTACATGTTGACCCAACAGGTCGCACGTTATGTAAGCTATTATGTTTTTCACATCACTGCTTGATACTAACATTTTCCATAGCTCCTCAAGTCTGCCCGCGCCGTCTTGGCCGGCAAGCCCGCCGGTAATGACACCAGCCAAATCCTCCAGACATACCTTGATCGCCGCGACAAGGGAGCTTCCTTCGATGTGCTCGGAGAGGACAAGGATATTGTGGCTGCATTCGCCTGGCGCACGGCCCATCTGACCTTTGAGGCTCTGAAGCACCGCGATGCCGAGCAACGGTCCTGGAACAGCCTTCTGGTTGACTTCTGGCGCTTGTCGACCGCCCACTCCCAGTACCTCGTGGTTAAGAACTTCTACGATGCCGTCTCCTCTCCTGAGCTCTCAACGGCCTTGGATCCCGAGACTAAGGCGCTGATGCACCAGCTCTTCCGCTTGTACGCGCTGCACACCCTGGAGCGTGAGGCCGCCGAGTTCTTCTCATCCGGCGCCGTTACCGTGCGACAGATTACCCTGACTCGCACCACCGCTGTGATGAACCTGCTCGATGAGATCCGCCCACACGCTGTTCGCCTCGTCGACTCCTGGGCCATTCCCGACTGGCAGCTTGACAGCAGTCTCGGTCGGTATGACGGAAAGGTGTACGAGGATCTGTTCCGTCGGGCCAGTCAGGAGAACCCCGTCAACGACCTGACCTTTGACCCATACCCCTGGAACTCCGCCTTGCTCAAGAATGAGCCTAAGAGCAAGCTTTAGATACCTGTGCCATACGCTTTCTTGTGATGTATTTATTTTTTTACGCCTATATTTGGGATGATAGACCATAGATATGAAATAGATCTCATGGAATGGCCATCGATGACAATGAGGTTGCATATAGACAGGATAATGTCTGACAAGTCTTGGCTTTCCCTTTCCGTTTTAGTGCTCACCCCATGGCGCTTTTTGCTCACTGAGTAAAACTGAGCACACCCATGAGTATTATATAAGCATTGTTTTCGCTCACTGAGCATCACCTGACCCTTATTTAAGCCAGATGATCAGATTCCTCAATTCGATCCCACTCACTGAGCGCGACCTAAGCGAAGCGGGAGAGCTAAGTCAGCAGCTAAGTCAGCAGCTCACCTCAATAAAATGCACCACGCTAGCCTCATCCAATGCATCTTTAACCAACACACTTGACCGTTGTCCCCTCAACGAAAGGATGGCATGGCGGTTGATCCTGGTTGTTTCGTCTCCAACAGCACAGTGGGACCACATTAATTGGCATTACTATTTTGCAGCTATGCCACTATTCAACTCGTCGAGTTTCCCCATCCTCGATTGCACCACTGGCCGGAGAACCTTGGGCAGTGAGGAGATAGCTCTCTTGGACACCTACTATAAGCAGCCTGCGTGGAGGAGATTTTTTACTTATGTTCAGCTTTGGTGGTTACGTCACGACGGTGCCTATATTCGGTTGGATATTTCTTGATCCTGACTATATCGTGGCTCTTAAGTCGAATGAAGTTGATCGCTACTGCGCAGCAGCCTTGGCGGCAGCTTGATCTATTTATATCAGAGCATCTATCAAAGACTGTGCCACATCGAGTAGCTGCTATGTTGGAGTCTAGTGATTGGTATACCGAATATTAGTCGATAGTAGTCAAGTTCATGTACTTTTTGGGGCACCGTGGTAGCACTTGTCGGATCCTTTTCTGCTGCGATGTTGAAGGCGGTGCGACCGTAAGTGTTTCTTGCGTCGGCATTTATACCGTAATTTGCCAGCAATGACTTGTCTACCGACGTACGCCCATACTCTGGTGCGATGTGGAGGGCGGTGCAGGAGTTTCTGTAAGTTCCATTGACGGAGATCTTTTCATAGGTGAGCAAATGCTGGACCGCCTCCTAGTCGACTTTTGTGCCGTCATGTAGTTCGCCTGTAGAGCAAATGGCAGGGGGGCGGACGTATTTATAGGCCTCTCGGCTTGCCTTCTCACCTGAGTGCTTGACTTAGTAGCAACCATCGAAGAACGCGGGTAATTGAGGGCTGTTGAAAACCATGTCTTTAATTTCACCGCCACTATATGAAGCGATATTCTTCATGCCATTTGTGGATGCCCACTGAGAAATACGAGCTATGATAATATTGAGAAATAGTTATGCCCATTCATTTTATTCGCGGCCGGCCGCGACAACATTCACCGCGTTTAGCTGCCCGAGGACAAAGCGAATCAAGCACCACAGCGATGCGTGACCCGAGAACACCGCCTTCGGCGCGAAGCAGCAGGCCTCGTGCCGATCAATTCTCCGTCTACAACATTCCCAGCCAATCATCCGAATCGATCCATCGCGTTCCAGCTTATATCAAAGAGAACATATCTCCATATAATGTCACACTGGGCCACATCTATGTAGGGCTGTAGGGTTGGACATCGATGAAGTGGTTGAGCAACAAGATGATGAGACCCGAAAAGTTCGGTTCCGTCACGCGATTGCTGGGCTTCTCTTGCAGTCATATGACACATGATTCGTGCTGGTACGGAAATGGGAGTGCTAAGTACCGGCGAAGCTGATATTTATCTGCGAATTGCAGAAGATCCCGGGATGCTTCTCTACCACCACTCTTTTCCAAAGAGAGATGTTGGGGACTTCACGGGCTGGAACACCTAATCAAACGGCCCAAATCGTCTACATTGACCGCCGTGGGGCAATCCTTCGCTTTCACTCTCTAGGTGCTCAAGTTGCAGCCTCGGAATCAGGCTTGGAGACAACAAGCAATCGACTGATTGCCAAGATGGGAAGTAGTAGTCACAGATGTTCTGGGCAGTATCTCAGATGAAGAGGTACCGTCTTCCGAATATCGCCCCTCCAAGGATGAATGGGTTACTTCGGACGTCTCCGATACAACTGCGTCACAGAAGCGAACAGACCCAGTGTTGGTGGTCGCCAACCAATAGACGCACAAGGAGATGCAGAAGAGGACCAATCTGACCCCGATACGACGAGCCGGGACCCACGAATTTGTCGCAATATCAACAGGGACAGCCGACGTCGATCCATCCAGCACCCACACCAGCTACGCAAAGATCTTTCTCGAGGGAGAGAGGAAACCATCGGTATTACTGCACGTTAAAGTGTCTACGTGGAATGGTAAATGTGCTTGGGCTTGATCAGACTTGCCCCAATATCCTTGATCATGGAAAAAACGCGCCATGTTATAAGTGCAATCACTTTCCTCAAACGGTTGCGGCGTCAACTTATTGAGACAGCTAATGCAGATTGCGAAGTACTGGGTATGCACGGTCCTCGGGGTGCTCTTTTGAAAGTTACGCTATCATCGCACGGATATGCTGTGCCTGCAAAATGCACCGTACCAGAGTTTGCGGAATAGTTATCGACGAGCTGATATCGTGCGGCTATGAAAGGTGAGACGAGTGCGGAAGCATAAAAATTGGAATGATATTGGTTTTTTTTTTTTTTTTTTGCAGATTTTATCGAACTTCGATGTTAAATGACTTCCGTGGCCGTCGAGTATCAGAAATCCGATACTTTCCCTTCGTAGGAGAGATTGTCAAAGATATAAAGAGCTTTTCGAGCCACCGAAGGCTAATTTTATCGGAAGTCCATCCGCTCGGACTAACCCCAAAGCGCCAATCGTCCGGGAGGCCGTCGAACCAAGATTCGATAAAGACTTTGCCCTTTGAAATGATACACGGATGTAAGGCCCACCGCGAGGCATTCGTACACTCAATTGCGGTAACCCACGTACGATTTCCAGGTTGTAAATGTGGTCGTTGACCGTAATATTCAGCCCTTGTCACTACTTTTGCGGTCGCGATTAAGCCCATTGCAGACCGGCTCGTCGAAGTTATAGACATCGTTGGGATCGATACCGTATTGAAGTATCGTTTTTTGGACTAGATTAGACCATTCATAGATGGTTTTTGGGTCTTCACACTTCGCGCGCTCCTAATTATACCGTCTTGACAATCGGATTGAAAGGTTTGGATGCCTTTGGATAAAGTTATAAACCCATTTTTCGCCGACTGAAAGGACCGGGTAGTTTCGGGGCTGCTAGAAGGAGGTTCGCAGTTTCTCGTAGCTAGAAGGCCGGTGTTAGTGGGGGGTGGGGGTGTTTGCTCCACGATTAACCAAAGAGAGTACCCATTTTTCAAGCGATTCCTCCTCGATTTCGGTCAAATTATATGAATTTGTGCGTAGAGAAGCCCGTTCCGTATGGCCGGAGAGGCGGTCGCGTAAAGTTGAACGCGGTAACTCAAAAGTGCGAGTAGCGAGAGCAACAGTGCTTATTTCTTGATTCTTGATAGCCTGGATAAGATCCTACCCTCTTGTTCCGTACGATTTCGGAAGGATCGAATACGAATTGGTGGCATGGTAGGTGGTTAAAGAAGGAGGGTCTAATTATTAACTTAACTAGGCTCAGGATCCTATTGTAGGGTTTCCAACAAGTCTAGATTTTTGATTATTCTCCGCCAAAGAAGACAATCATGATCCTGGGTTTGGAAGTATGGGTAGTCAGGTACAACGTCATCAGGCTGTAAATACCCGGCTTTTAGTGGTAGCCGGGGAGAGAGGGTATGGAACGTATGGTATAGCTTTGCAGCCTTGGCGTGCAATCATGCACCTAGGCACAAATTATCGAAATAGGTTAGTGTGTGTCGGGTGGTACTTAGGGGCGGGGCCATTGTTTTGCCAGCATGGTGGTCTAATATCATAAAGTTACAACTAGTATAGTCTTGTGCTTTTGGTTCAGCCACCAAAGTTGTTTTAGTTATGTGCATAATATAGCCTAAGAGCGCTTAGCCTTACATAAATATGGGCCTGGGACTAAAATTTTGCTGGTTCCGTGGGACTTGTTCAAGCTAATGCATGATCTCGGATTTAAGGGACTAGCGGCCATTAGCATCCGAAAGTGCTGTGATTTCCCGCAATAGACAGAGGATGCGGCCATGGAGCAGAACAGATGATGCTCCTCCTGGAACATTTGATGGTGGGACCCGACAACTCCGTACTTTCATGAACGTTGCTGTGATGGACTTTGCGGACCTTATCTCCGGATAAAATGGGAAGAAGAAAACTATATAAACCTTCCAATTCCATCAATTCCCTAGTGGTATCAATCGCCCATTCCTCTTCCCTATCTACAATACTATATACCACTAAGGTAACCACCACAATGGCAATTAAATACGCCGCATCTCACGAAGCCCCTAATGGCCCCGGGGACAGTCGTCCTACCGCCTTGCAAATCATCGAGGACGAGGAACTTGAAGGGAAATTTGCCGACAAAGTTTTCCTCATAACGGGATGCTCCTCCGGTATAGGAGTTGAGACCGCACGCGCTCTGTCCAAGACAGGTGCCAGGATCTTCGTCACTGCCCGAGATACCCAGAAGGCTAAGGCAGCACTGGGTGATCTTCTGGAATCAAATCAAGTACATCTTCTGGCGCTTGATCTCAGCTCTCTAGCCAGCGTTCGTGCCTGTGCTGCCGAATTCCTGTCGCAAAGCCACAAACTGCATGTTCTCATCGCGAACGCTGGAGTCATGGCGATACCCGAGAGCCGAACAGTAGATGGGTTCGAAACGCAACTAGGTGTCAATCATTTAGCACATTTCCTGCTATTCCATCTGTTGAGACCCACCCTGCTCGGCTCCTCTACCCCCGACTTTCCGTCGCGTGTTGTTTTCGTCTCCTCGAGTGCGCACCGTATGTCAACTGTTCACTTAGAGAATCTTGACCTCAACGGTGAATACGAACCGTGGAAAGCATACGGTCAGAGCAAAACGGCTTTAATCTGGACCGCCAACGAAGTTGAACGTCGGTATGGATCTAGCGGCCTTCACGCCTTCAGTCTGCATCCCGGGGGTATTGCAACTGGGCTGCAACAACACCTTCCAGAAGAAGTCATGGAGGGTTGGGCAAAAGATGAGTCATTTGCGCGCATTTGGAAGAGCCCCGAGCAAGGCGCCGCGACAACAGTCTGGGCAGCCGTTGCAAAAGTTTTGCATGGAAAGGGGGGGAAATTCCTAGAAGATTGCCAAATCGCTGGTCCTCACGATCCGGAGACGGGGCTTCTAGGGTCGGGATACGGACCATGGGCGTACGATGAGCAAAAGGAGGCAGAGCTGTGGGAGCGCTCTTCAGAACTTGTAGGCTTGGACAAGGATAACTGATGCTAAGAAATAGTCTGTTTACTGTATGAGACCTTTAGAGACATGAATTTCAAATTTTACTCCACTCATGTATGGCAGACTTGATCGATAATATTGTCTAATTCCCGGTAAGTAAAATATGCCATAGAAACCCTCGTCCGTGCCAGGTCCGGCAGGTAGACGTGAGCCTACGGAACACCGTGAAGTTAGAATATGGACGAGGAATCCGCTTGCCGATTAGCCGTGATAAGGGTCCATGGGTCGCCGATATGTGTCTCCTGGGTACATAATCATTTAGCATAGTTGCATACTGTAAGGCATAAAAAAGTCGGCGGCCTTGGTGAGGAAGGTGTCGGAACTGCTGCCTTCGTGACCAGGAATGTGACTCGTACTATACCGTAATGTAACTACTGCCATGGCTCTATTACTCGGTCAAAAGTCCAATAGGGGTCTGGCGAATGCAATTTCCGTTTCCAGAAGAAGGTAATTTAGGTCTGTGCATCTGGGAGAACACCTGGGGGCTATTACAGATGTGTTCAAATAGGGACATGCTGTGGAAGTCCAGCGTATATATATCTGCCCGGGTTCGTTCACTGTACGAGTCATCAATAATTGACATCAATCTTTCTTTATCAATAACTGATTTTCGTAAACGAAACCATTCCCTGCCATTGTGTCACTCAGCTGCTGCATCTCGCGATCCCAGAGAGACTAATAACAATGTTAGCGTTATATGCCGCCATGCACTACGAAGGACTATCTTGTTACCTTCAAGTACGGGACTCTTACCCAATCAAACATATCTAAGTTGGAGAGCTTAGGGCTTAGGGCTTAGGGTACCGGACTGGCCTGACAATTTGATTTATATGGTCGTATGTGAGATCCTGAGAGCGTTTGGTGTAGAAAAGAGTACTATACAAGTGGTTTAAAACCTACATGGTGAAAACATGAAGTTCAACGGGCAAAAAAATATTTGCAGCCGGTCATTAAACAATTAGTGGTTTAAGGAATTCGACTACAAAATCGTCGAACGGAATAGTCAATGATTAAATACCCTCTTTTTCCTAAACACAGTGAAAGAAGTAGGGTGTTTATTTAAGGCGATTGGCGGAACAGCATTCTCCACCCAAAATCACGGGTATTCTTCTAATACCCAAGCACCCCGATTTTGCCGCAAATATTATTTCACCCTGCCCACCCAGAAATATGTTCTTCTTAAACTAAGTAGTCCAATTATTCAGTACCTTCCGGAGTCTCTCAGTCCTGCAAGAGTCCTCACTCGTGTCACACGGCCAGTCAAATTATTGGCTGAGCATGGAGAGTCCTCTTCCATACGGAGCCTCTTCCGAATGGAGAACTACTATGTATGGAGTAATATATTGTCTGGAGAACTTAACGTCTCTATTTCCGAAGCTTTTGTCTCAAATTTGAACTTACTGGCCGATAAGCCAACAAACAAAGTACAACCATGGCTTCGGTTAGATTCTCGGGGAATCTGGTATAAAAGTGACTCAGGAGGATTCTCTTAGGTTGACAGGATGAAAGAATTCTTGCAACAGACTGGGAGGGTTGCCTGAGTATTAGAAAATTCGGTTGATTTAGGGCGGGGAGTGTTCCCTAGCTAATCATACTCAATAAACGCCCTGTTTCTTTCACTGCGTCTTAAAAAGAAGATGAATTAATCGGTTTCTTATTCTTTTCGACCATTTTGTAGTCAAATAGCTGAGAGACAAATTCGATTGATTTAACCACCGGCTGTAAATCTTGCTGTTGACCATGCTTTCACTAGTGTTAATTGGCCTTTTAACACTAGTTGACAGCTCCTGGCACGCTATTATTCTACCCTCATTTATTCTGCAGTACAGTTATCGTTGAAAGCATCGTTTTTAGTTAACCAAGTGGCTGACCTTGAATATGCGGCAGCAAATAGACCGACCACAAAGGCCTAAACGATCTCACGCAAGTAACTTGGGGCGTGACTTAAGGTTTTAGGAGATACACGTGATGTTGCGGGGTCAAGGTAGGGTGGGTGTAATCACGTTTTATTCTGCCAATGGCAGTAATTGACCACCGTACTCTTGTCCGAGAGGCGGCGTCTTTTTCTCACCGGCCATCCTTTATTGCTTTTCATCACCGCTTTTACAGTACAAGACGGCAAATCCAATTATGTGTATTGTAACGGTGTTGAGAGAGTGAAGTGCCGCTAATTTTCCTGGGCCTTGAAGCCCGATTCAACGCGTTCGAGAGGTCTCGTATTCGTTGGGAATATGAAACGGATCCCATCAAAAAATGATATTGTGGAAAATCTCTTGGGGTACTTTATCCTGGACGTGTCGGCCATTGTACAAGACGAATTCGTTTAATGTTGAGTAAATAAGAAATCAACAGTTATTGATGGGTAGTGTTGGCGATATCGCGTTCAATCGGTTATTGTTTTTACTGCGTGTGTCAACGCGAAGGAAGTCCTTGGTGGACGTTTACTTGTCGAGAAAGTCGTACATTGAATTAATTCTAATTTAACTGATTATTTTATTGCTGGGAGAAACTAGCGGTTGATCACCACTGAAGGCAAGCTCACTCGTCTGGTGACTGAGAGGGTTGTCAGGCGCAGCCATTTTGCCATCACTACAATAAAATAGTCTGTGCTACAGTAGATAAACAGAAGATTGCTATTTAAAAGGTTGACTCTCTCTCATATCCACACATTCCACTCACAAAATCGAATTCATGGTGATTCTTGCATACAAAAGAATATTGATCTTCAAATGTGGTGTAAGTAAGAAATCTTTATGTTTTCACGGAAATTTATTTCTATACTAGGAGAAAAGATGTTATGAAATGCGTACCTTCCATCAGGCTATTCCCACCAAAGGGAGGCAGCATGACTCATCATGTCACGATTTGTACTGTATCCGGCCAATTAGAGATATCAATGACTCTGTAATTCCATTACCCCTATTTCTCACTATTGTATGGGGCGGTTTCTAATTACATGACTAACCTCCGGATATACTCTATACCCGAAGCTATTCGGATCATCTATAGACCCGGTTTCATGCAGTATTCGTAAGATAAGTTATTTGTGACATATGACATATTGATTATCCTGTCGAAAGGTGCAAAAGTGCTTCCCACAAACTATTTTAAAGCTATTTTCAACGCCAGATGAATGGAGAAAACCACTTTACAACTTCGCCGTGCTCGTCTGATGCCCCTTTACTACATTCAGCGTATCTCGTACAGCAACCTGTCCTCGCTCAATAGCACCATCAACAAAGCCCCTCCATCCATCAGCCCAGTCCGCATTTGCAAAGATAACCCGCCCATGAGGCTGTTGTAGTTCAGCTAGGTATCTCGATATAGCATTAGGTCCCCAGCACGCCCAAACACCCTTGGCGTAAGGATCATTCGCCCAGTCATGCGTAGCATAAGCCTCCACGTTGATGCTAGGATTTATGTCTTTGTTGAATTGCTGAATTATACGCTGGGAGTCCGTCTTGTCAGTCAGCTTTCCGTTGTATCCAAAGCCGATGCACCAGGTCCCGGACGGGCCCGACAGCTGTGTTCCATTGTGATCTGAGAAGGCGAAGACAAAGCTTGTGTCGCTCTTGGAATCGCCTGTCCAGAACCAGGCAGGAAGTGTCTCGCGGAGTTTGTAGTGTATTTTTGCCCCTTGGTTGATGTGGCCTTGCGCAATTGCTTTTTGGCGAAGAGGGGAGAGAGGAGGCGCGAATTTGATGTCGCCGAGACAGTTCCTATAGGAGCCGTTAGCAAATATTGCATGGGGTAGTGAGGTGCACTGATTCGATGACTTACAGTGGAATCGTTGAAATGATAGCTTTTGCCCGCAAGGTTCGGCGGTCCGTTGTCGAGAGCTCAACACCGCTTTCGACATGATGAATCTCGGCAACAACTGTGTTAAAGAGCCGGTCGCCGGTGTATTCGTCCAGAATAGCGCTCGCCAACGAAGTCATGCCTCCTTTTCCAATCTTATGTATCCCAGCCATCTCGAAGATGCCAGCAATAGAATGACCGCCTAATGCGAACCATCTCAATGCCTCCACGAACCCAATGTCCTTGCCCGGCGCGCTGCCAAATGTGTTGATATTTGATTCGAACAGGTCCTTCTCCGGTTGTGGGATGTCATGGAGCTGATCCAACCGATCATGCACACTAAGGTGGTCGTATTTCCTCCAGGGTGCAGGGTCCCGCAGCGAATCATGAGGATACGGCATGAGAGATCTACTATTCAGCCCGTCTATAGTGAAGAATCTCTGTGCTACTCGTTCCAGCACAACACCACCTTCCGCACTCGATACTTCTTCTATATCTCCCGAGGAAGATTTGAATTCTTGCTTTTCAGGCGCAATGGTTCCTGCTGATGCCTTCAAATTTCGATGTAGGCCATATCGGTGCAGTTCGGAGTAGAGGTGCGGCTGCGCCCAATGGACCCATGTACCTCCCATCTCGATTTCCTCGCCGAGGACCCTAGCCGTCCAGGTACGGCCGCCGATCCGATCGCGCGCTTCAAGGAGAAGGACATCGACTCCATGTTTCTGGTTCAAGTCTCGGGCGGCGACGAGACCGGCGAAACCGGCGCCGATAACGATTATATCGTAGCGGTCTTTGATGGCCGGGGAGCTTTGTTGAACAGCGGCGGTGAGTAGGCCCTCCGTAACTTGTTCGGGGGTCCACAGGTAACCCTCTTTTGAGCGAGACATGCTGGTTGAGGACTAGTCTCGCTTCGTTCATCGAGCCGACATGGTTGTTGTGTGGTGTACTAATATACCCCCCTACGATCGCAGATGATAGAAAGCACACGCTCCATCGAGTGCGGAATATTCCGAATCCTCTTCGCTCTTTTCTGAGTCGTGCGTCTTACGCTTCTTTGCGATTGGTAGACGATCTATGTGATCTCCGGCGACGTAAGTGCGTCTTTGCAAGTACGCGCACTTTTTTTCCTAATTGGTACAGCTCCACATGTGGGAATGACTTGGAGGAGCGCTCGGAGTTTGATGACTTGTCTGAACTCAATCAGGCGCACTAGAGCAGACACCTAATACTACAGCTCGGGTGTCGTGATCATGAGATTGTTGTGTATCAAATGAAGGCAATTTTCAATCCTATGCTCACGGGCTTGCAACTATTCAACAGACCTTAAGAGGTTAACATAATACAATCACAGCTTCGCGAGATACCGCCCTCCACACTTTACAGCCAACCCATAACTATCAGACGAAAAGGTAATTGTGCTTCCTCGTGGGAAAAAGAATACATGTCCCGCTCGAACTGTTGCCGTCTCACCAGTCTCATCTCGAAGGTTTATCTCCCCTACCATAACTCGTTAACTTCAGACTATTGGTATTCTAGCCGTATAGTGCGTACCCTCAATAACAACGCCAAACTCATCATATTCATATGTCGGGGGCGTGGCCTCTTCACCCTTCTCCATACGGAACCATGCCCCAACAATAGGATTGGAGACATCGGTGTCTTCAGTTCCTAGAAGGTCCGCTGAGGAGAAGTGAATATGTTAAAAGTCTCAGATGAGATAGGACGTCAAATACTCACCGAAGTATACATTCGGTATACCGCGATAGTTGGGGATCTTGAAGCGCTCGGTGCTGTCTTTGATCTGGAATGGCATATCTTTGGAAAGTTGTATGTAGTGGTCAGTATTGGTAAAGCTCTTGAAGTTACTTTGTTACTTAAACGAGTGATGCTGAGCCTCCGAGATCCTATTAGAGATTTCGGCCAATCGCGTCCTCCTGTCTCGCCGCATTGTTTTGCCGAATCGGGATGAAAACTGACGCCACAAAGGGACGATACAGATCAGAGTGGATGGCGATTAGCTAGGGAGATAGCCATGTTTGAACTATCTGCGTGATAATTTTGGATCTCTCAATTACATACATCATCACCCGAAGATCGCTTCCAGTTTCTCATCCACCATAACATCGATCCACTGGATAAACTCCATAGGCAGCGACAAAGCCTGCATATCACACCGGGTCCACACCTTCTCAACAATTTCGATTGCCCTGGAGACTGTTGCTATACCAACATAATCCCTGATTGCCTGTAATCGACTTCTGACAAAATTACGCCAGTATAGCTGAACATCGTCCTGACTAGATAGGGAAACAATATCATCTGAAAGAATGGCCCAGGATCCCTCTCGGAATTGCCTAGGTGTTGACTTTATTGTTGATTGTAGTGTGCTGCCGGCGATAATGAGCGGAAGGGTAAGTAGACTGTTGACACCTGATGTTTGCGGAATGGTGGCGATTGTTGTTAGTATCGCGGTTGTGAGCGCTAGTATCTTGTGCGCTGGAGCAGGTTCTTCCGATAGCGCTCCCACCTGACCATTAAGGAGCGCTGGGAAGTTTCTGTAGAGCTCAAGTAAGGCGGAGAGTCTGTATACTTGAACTAACTGTTGTAAGTGCTTGAGCGGAGTCGAGGGGTCACCGGTATCTTCTACACGGTCCTTGCTTGGAGCTCGGAATGCTAAAAGCGCAGCCTCAGTATCTCGAGCCGATTCCACAAGGTCAGTCTTGAGCTGATTTTGGATTTCTTCGGATTTCCCAACAAGAGAAAGATTTTTGACCAATGCCCTTTGCCTGGCCAAAGTGCCTACCTTGGCCAAGTATACAAATAATGCCGTGCCGATGCCCGTCCAAGGCGTAGGGTGAATTATCGTTGTCGGGCCCTGGTCGCAAACATTCTCGAGGTAGGACATCGCGTCCAGAGATTGGGTTGTGAGAAAGGACGACATTGCCTCCCAATAGGCCATGATTCCCACCATAGCACTTCCTACGCGAGAGGAGCACGCGAAAGCAAGTGATGTGCCCGTGCCTTTATCGATCCCCGATATCCACCTTTTGAACAAGACTCTCGCGCCATGCAAGTGAGTAGACCCGAGAAACGATGGATTGTGCCAACCCTAGAAAAACGTGTCAGCGCTCTATGAATAGGTAGCCACCCTATAACTACCTACATCGGTCATTCCCAGAAGAATACTCCCGAGTAGTGTTTCTGTTGAGTAATCAACTGTGGGGCAACTTTGAAGATCTCTCTCATTTTTCATGTTCATTACTCTCAACTTCAAGCAAGTTATCGCTTTGGTCCTGTGGTCCAGCGCGGTGGTTCCCAAGTCGCCTCTTATGTTGGCAAGATGTGCGGCTGACATGGAGAGAACACAATGGTAGATAAGCGGACTAGAGGCCATCATAGTCCCGATCTCCCCACGGAAGAAATTGCTGCTAGAATCGACGCAGGATTGAATCCGACAGACGCTCGAAAAGTAGTGTCTCGTTATTTCCGTATCCTTGTCTTCAAGCGACAGCGTTAGAGGCAAATATAAGTCAGACCAATCCATCAGCTCCCCTGCCGTACATTCCAATCCGGGTCCCAGAGCCTCGTTTGACGACAGCAAGTCAAGGGATCCAGTACTTGCATTACCGTCGTCTGAGCAACTTTGATACCTTGGCTTGCCGCCATCATGCGTGTGACTCGCTCCAGGATCTGCAAAGGCCTGAAAGTTGGCAGCTTGGCTCGCCATATACAGCGCCCTCGCATCTCGAGTATTGCATATAGCCGACTCAGGCTCGCTCGGTGCAACCAAAAATTGCGCTATTGTGGGTTCGGATACCTCGACAGTGCTCACGGCTGGTGCGTGCTCAAAATTTCCCTGATACGTCTGATGCTCCACTTCATGTTTCGCGGTCCATTTCAAGGGACGCTTGTAGCCAGGACATTCATGCGCACGCCGGGTACACTGATTGCAATGCGGATGAGTCTCGTCACATTTAATTCGCTTTATGAATTCGGTCAGCCCGGTAACGCGATGTAATATGGTGAAACGGCATACCCTCTGTTTGCAGCGCAGGCAGCCCGCTAGTGAGGTCAGTAAAATTTAGTTGGCTTCTCCATAGAAAACTCACTGCGCGTCTTCAATCTGTTTCGTGGTAATTGTCGTTGGTTGGGCATGGAGATGACTTTATCACTTCGATACTTTCCGCACGAGAGGTTTGAGGGTCTACAAGTGCGGAGAAGCGGCTTTCTCCACACCACTCGGCTGTATTTTAATGCGGGCGGAGGAACGCTATATATACAACAAGTAAAATCAAGTTGATTTTCAAATTCTTCGTATTGACAATGCGGGAATTAATTCCGATGGTGAGGCTTGATTCCCGATCTGCACCAGCTTCATATCACAACAATTTCACCCTCTTTGACCAAGTGATGCACGCGATCGCCGCCATGAAAACCGCGGCGACTTATAGCCACCCTGGCTTGATCGCATTTAAGTGCGGCTGAGACCTCGCCTAAGAACTCTCCGCTTGTGCATTATTGAGAATAAGTGATTCCTCCAGAGTCTGACTACGGACCCCCTCGCTTGTATCCTTTCCCTCTGTCAGTTTCTTTTTGGATTTGGTGTTGGTCCAGTGCGCCCAGTGCGGACCTAACGAGGCCGTATAGGATCTATATTCACAGTTAAAGGAAGTCGTCCGTAATATTCAACGAAATGGATGGCGGAAGCCCCCGTGATGCTGGCTCGGGAAAGGCGTGCGCGCGCCGGGTACGGAAATACAACATACCGGCGTTATGCGACTGAACCAATATGAGGCACCGAAGTTCCGATACCCTCGGCCGAATTACCAAGATCGCGAAATCTCGAACAAACTCCTAGGTGCCCGCATAGATCTTGCATGGTCTCGAACACCTGTGTGTAGCTTCAGTCACCTGCTCCGGAATGGTCTGGCCGTTCCCACTCCCTCGCAACACGTTGCGATTGGCTCAACCATATGTAGATAATGGATAGCTTAGGTGGCAATTTGCCGATCACGCAGTGGACCAACCTTGTCGGCGTATCACACACAAGGCCTTTGAGAGCAAGTTTGACTTCTCGGGTATTCATTCGCCCCATATGCTGACTTCCCCACACTTTGCGCACTCTTTTCGGCCAGAGAGATTGGGTAGTCAATAGAGTTGTGGTTAGGCTTTATCATAAACAGCTCAATCGTCAATCCTCGTATTGCCAATAGATCATTAAAAACATTCCGTGACGGATCCTTTCGAAGGTAGGAGCGATTATATGTGCTATGCAGGAACGCACCTATTGCGCAACCTTCATTTCCATCTTACCATTACTCAGTACTTCGCTTAAAACTGTACATTCACCATGATGGAGCCAGTGAAAAAGGACGTGCCAATGAACTCCTTCGACTTTTCCCTGGAAATGGGGAGACACAAGAGTCACGACGTAGGAGAGACACATGAACTCAAGGTAATTGCGACCAGGAGAACATCATGGCTGATATACATTTCAGTGACTGATTCACTTCTAGAAAGGGTTTTCTCGGTTGACTATCTTGTCTACGACTGTGATTCTGATGGCGACATGGGAAGCATTGTCAAGGTACGGTTGGATACTTGGACGTTCTCCTCCAGTACTGACGGTTTCTGCAAAGTACCATGGCCTCTGGGTTGATTAGTGGCGGACCAGCCTCCTTAATATATGGATATATATGTTAGTCCGAGGAACCGGGGATCATATCAGCAATCACAACTAACAGGTTCAAAGTGGCGGTAATAGGATCTCTCGCAACTGCAGCGTCCCTGGGAGAGCTGGCTTCAATGTTAGGGGACACCCAATTTTACTCGGCGGCCAAGGCTAAATGATACGCAGGTACCCGACTGCCGGGGGTCAATATCACTTCACAGCGCTGCTGGCTCCGAAGAGATGTCAGAAGATTCTCAGCTGGGTTGTGGCATGGATAGGTGAGTTAAGAATCTTGCATAGGTTGAGGCATCTCACTGATAGTTCTGGGTATTTGCTAGGTACATTTGGCTGGATTTCTTTCGCAGCTAGTGCTCCTTTCCTCGCTGCAGGGATGATACAGGGGCTTTTGATCCTCAACCACGAGAATTATGAAGCCCAGCGTTGGCATGTATCACTCATGTACTGGGGCCTAGTTGTTCTCGGTACTGTTATCAACATCTGGGGAAGCCGTTTTCTTTCGGTGGTGGAAAGATCATCGTTGATCATCCACGTTCTGGCGTTTATTGCAATTTTTGCAGTTGTGTGGGCTTGCTCGCCTGCGAAGCACTCAGCTGACTTCGTTTTCACCCTCTTCGAGAACAATTCCGGTTGGACCAGTGACGGCATAGCATGGTCCCTGGGCATGCTATCGAGCAGCTATGTCCTGGCTGGTGAGCACTGCCCCAAGCGAAGCATACCCCAAGGAAATAACATCGGAATATCAGGTTACGACGGAGCGATCCATCTCGGCGAGGAAATGGCCAACCCTGAGGTTGCGGTGCCATACTGTATGCTGGGCTCGGTGGCAATCAACGGCTCAATGGGTTTTGTCTTCTTGCTCGCCATTCTTTTCTGTATGGGCGACATGCAGACTGCTCTGGACAGCGCGACTGGGTATCCGATTATCGAGATCTTCCGCGGTGTAACGGGATCCAAAGGGGCTGGTAGTGCAATGGTCTCGATGCTCATTCTTGCAGCATGGCTGGCGACCATTGCCCTGTTAGCGTCCACATCACGAATGGTGTGGTCGCTCACTCGTGACAAAGGTACGATATTTTCAAGGGTAATACAGTCAGAGCTGACGATGTTCCAGCATTACCCGGCCATGCATACCTTGTTGAACTCGATCGCAAAACGCAGCTACCTAAGCGGGCGATCCTAGCTACTGGTGTCGTCCTAGTTCTCCTCGGCCTGATTAATATTGAGTCAAAGACCGCATTCAACGCGATTCTCTTCCTTGCAGTACTAGGACTGCATGTGTCGTATGTTGTTCCGATCGCATTAATGCTGTGGCTTCGACTGTTCTCTTTGAGTCCGTTACACTACGGCCCCTGGAAACTCGGCCGTTCTGGTGTCGCTCTTAACCTGATGTCGGTGTGCTACCTCGTCTATACGAGTATATTCATGGTCTTCCCCCCGTATCAGCCAGTTACTGCGCTGAACATGAACTATTCATCACTGATTTTTGGCGCGGTGATAATTTCCAGCGGGATTTATTGGGTCTGGAAGGGCAGGAGGCAGTACGATGGACCGAACGCATATATTCCGCAGGGTATCTAGAGTTGTACCCAATCTGTACTGTACAGCGTTTGTGAATAACTCTCATTGGCCCCTGAGGTCCTTATCATACTCAAGGCTCGCGTCATCTATCTTACATATTCATCCAAATGCGAGATAAGCTACTACTCTGCAAGAACCTGGGAATATAAGTTAGTCGAATTGCGTTGAAGGCACCCAAGTTTAAGGTTGTCGTCTTGGAAGCAAGGGTGCGGAATCTACGGTCAGTTATTCTTTCTAGTACAATAACAATCGATCTTCCTTTGAACTACACTCGTTCTTCCGGCAAGATAATTTTGACCAAGATATTGGAGATGGCTTCCTACAACCTATACAAATCGCGTTGGACGTATTCCAGTCTCTGCAAGATCGGAGATTTCAGCTTGGTCAGAATCCAACAGCCGCCTCTCTAGCATTGTTCGTTGGCCAAGATACCCCTATAAACAAGAAGCAGCAATTAATGGTGACAAAGATATTAGCGGAAGCTTTGGCTTAGGTAAACCATCCATATGCTCTTCTGGACGGAAGCAACTCCTACTCTGCATCACTGGAGAAGGTGGCACAGGGAAGTCCCAAATTCCCAGGGCCATTGTCGCCGCCATAGGCTTTCTGGGACGCAAAGATGAGATTATGCCGATGGCCCCTACCGGTGCTGCTGCGGACACGATCGGCGGGAACACGTATCACACGTCACTGGGCATCTCCATCAACCGCCTGCAAAAGAATGCAACGGGGTCCCGTGTGCGAAGAATTTTGGAACCCAAGACCATCATGTTCATTGACGAAATGAGCATGATGGACCTGACGATGCTCAGTGTCGTTAACAACCATTGCATGCTTGCCCGCTCATTGGGCAGGTCTTCCCCCGGTCTCTTTGGGGGAACTACCCGTGGTTGTTCTCATGGGTGACTTCTTCCAATTCCCTGGGGTGCGAGGCCCCGCTCTGTGGAAGGAACCAAGAGCCGGCAACGATGAAGATGCGAATGGCCAAATGATCTAGCATCGATTCAAACAAGTCATCTTGGACGAGCAGATAGGCAATCAGAAGATCCTTCATTCCATGGTCTTCTCACTCGAGCGCGGCCAGCAGCTCTAACACAGGACGATGTAGATCGGCTGAATACTAAAGCCATCAGTTTGTGCTTCCCCTATTCGTATGCCCTTCTATTGCTGTTTCTCCGTGTCTGGATCCTGGTCCTTCCACTCGTATTGCTGACCGACAGACGCTTTCCGGCGTCCTCGTCTTCTGTAATACCGTCCTTGTTCGGTTATATACGCTATATTATTATACGCAAGATTCTTTCTCGCTGCTAATTACTTCTCATCTTTGTATCATCCACACGGCATCAGCGTTTATCTTTTAGGAAAATTTGTGGGTTAATACTGTTGAGTGCTTCCGAATCACCTCTACTACTAATGCCATCTCTTCCTGGGCGAGGTATAATCTGTTCTGGTTGCAAAGCCATGGCAGTCCACTAATTTTAGAACCTGCGATAATTGCCGCCGGAAGGCTTCTCTGCGAGTACGTGGTTCTCGACAATCTATAGCCGCTGTAGGAGGAATCAACTATCCTACTGATCCGCCTCCTCCGGCTTCCGCATCGGTATTTCCAACGCTGCGCGTTTTGTGCTCTCAGTGTGCCCGGCCTTGGCAGCCGACACGATATAGGACCTGTGATCGCTGTCGGCAGAGAACTACACTGTGAGGACAGCTTCAGATAAGGTCTGGCACGTCCACCTTTGTTTGATTGCCTGGCAATTTCGACTCTCTTAGCACACACTTCGTCCTGTTCATGACGCCGGGACATCTTTGTCAGTCAGTGTATCTCGGTCACGGCCTCTAGCGCCTGCAAGCAGAACTGTTCTACGGCCTCCCGCACCTGCTTCGCTACCACGTCTGACCCCGCCTCTCTCGTCCAATATCTCAAACAATTCGCTTCATGCAGTTTCTCCACTAATTACCAGAACAGAGCCGAGAACACAAAGAGTGATGCGTCCTGCGGGTCCTCTGCCGCTATCTCCCTTACAGACGCCACCGGGTCTCACAACTATCCCCAGTCGCCGGAGAGAAAAGATGCAATCGTTACAAGCAGCCGCCAAAAGACAAAGAACGTTAGAGTTGGCGACATCGCGGGACAATTTAATTCGAGCGCTGTGCTTCCTGCGCGACGAGTTGGAGGTTCGCGCCCTCGCCTCTGATGCATTTCCCCGGAGTTCTCTTCTTCACACATTCGAGCATCGGTAGCCAGGTACGAGGACGACATTTCCGCCGCTTCCAAAAAAAGTGTTTGTTGTTCGTGTGGCAAGTTTGTGTCAAACACTGACATCTATCGTGTCGACAATGACGATTCTTTGCTGCTGTCTTTGGAGAGAACCCTTGATACCTGCGGCCGGCATGGTGACTCTTGGGATCTCTGCTCGTCATGCCATGCTTCACTCAATCGAGACATGATTCCCAAATTCTCTGCGAAGAACCTCGTGCTCTGCCAGCCATTAATATAGACGAGATCACCATAAATTCCCCGAAATTCCCAACGATCCCGCACGTGGATCCCATCTGATACCAATCCACCAGACCCAGTAACCCGAGTGGTCGACAGAAGCTGATCTTCATAGTTTGCCAGGACCTACTGTAATTGATACAAAATCTCAACCGGAGGCGAACTCTCTGTTGATCAATGAACACCAGAAAAACACCGTTTTTGCGACGATCCCATCCAGATTCATAGCCAAGACGGAGGAATTACCTCGAAGATACTTCTCACACTCCAACCTCCTGACCCTACAGGAACAGAAACAAAAGAACACGACACACCCAATACGGAGTTTTAGCCACAGAATAGACTGCTCACAGCCAATCTAAGCCATCCCGGAGACCAGCCCTATCCGAGTAAAATCCCGCAACAACAGACATAAAACAAGCTTACTCCACCCAGTTACGGTGGAGCCACAACAAGTGTGAAACATCCTCATGCACCGGTGCGGATCCTCTAATGCTGGCTAGATTGCGACCGGGGATATTTTCTATCATTATACCTACGATATTTCCTGGAAATTACGAAATTAACGCAATGGCTGAGTGACGCCGAAGCACTGCCAATATGTGATCTCCTCTGCAACAATTCTTCTATTCCCAACGAAACAGGACCTTTCCCATCGAACATAGCCCCTTCTTGGCCAGCCTCTAGGGCCTTTCTCCGCACAAAATGTGGTTCGGTCTCATACACACGTTTAGGGCCTCGGTCGCCATCCGCCGAGCTAATAGCAGCATTACGGCGCCCCTGAAAATGAAACAACAGTGCGGGTGGTCGGCTTTTTAATTTTTAATTGTCTTAACTTGGGGAAAACTTAGTATTCTCACCACCATCGACTAAGGAAACTGGCGTCGCTGCTGTTATCTATAAAGCATGGCCCCATCCCAGACAATGTCCTTTTCAGCACCACTCCATTCTTCATACATCCCAACACACAATGGGTGTCATCATGAAGTACATTGCCGTTGTCGCAGCCATGGCCGCCCAGGCCTCTGCCATCGCCGTCTCGGGCGCTGCTGAGGGTTTCGCCAAGGGTGTGACCGGTGGTGGCTCTGCTACCCCAGTCTACCCCAGCACCACCGCCGAGCTGGTCTCGTACCTGGGTGACTCTTCTCCCCGTGTCATTGTACTGACCAAAACCTTCGACTTCCGCAACACTGAGGGCACCACCACCGGCACTGGTTGTGCTCCCTGGGGTACTGCCTCTGCTTGCCAGCTTGCTATCAACCAGAACAACTGGTGCACCAATTATCAGTCGTCTGCTCCCTCCGTCTCCGTGACCTAGTATGCCAACCTGCCTGTTTCAAACAAGAATACACGCTAACAACCCCTAAGTGACAACGCCGGCAGCCTCGGTATCACCATCGCCTCCGACAAGACTATTCTGGGCTCTGGCTCCGCCGGTATCATCAAGGGTAAGGGTCTCCGTATCGTCAGCGGTGCCAGCAACATCATCATCCAGTAAGTCCACTGTCCACACTTGGGCGTATTCAGTTCCCGGGACAGAATCCACACCCTGTAGTGCACACAGTCTAACCTCCGCAGGAACATTGCCGTCACCGACATCAACCCCAAGTACGTCTGGGGAGGCGATGCCATTACCATCGACAACGCCGACATGGTCTGGATCGACCATGTCACCACCGCCCGCATCGGCCGCCAGCACATCGTCCTCGGCACCGACGCCTCTAAGCGCGTCACCATCTCCAACAGCTACATCAACGGCGTGAGCGACTACTCCGCCACCTGCGACGGCTATCACTACTGGGGTATCTTACTCGACGGCTCCAGCGATCTCGTCACCCTGAAGGGAAACTACATCTACCACACGTCCGGCCGTGCCCCCAAGGTCACGGGCAACACCCTCCTGCACGCCGTAAGCATCCCCCCACACACCGCACACTCATTTCAAACCCCGTTGAATACTAACGTGTCCCAGGTCAACAACTACTGGTACTCCAACAGCGGCCATGCCTTCGAGATCGGCTCCGGCGGCTACGTCCTCGCCGAGGGCAACGTCTTCCAGAACATCCCCACCGTCGTCGAGGCCCCAATCTCTGGCCAGCTCTTCAGCTCGCCTGACACCACCACCAACGCCAAATGCAGCTCGTACCTCGGCCGGTCTTGCGTGGTCAACGGATTCGGATCCTCCGGTACCTTCAGCCAGGCTGATACTGGGTTCCTGTCCGGCTTTTCCGGCAAGAACATTGCTTCTGCTGCCGCTAGCACTACCGTTGTTTCGAGCGTTATTGCTAACGCTGGACAGGGTAATCTTTAAATGTCTGATGGGATTGGATGTTTAGGATGGGTTTATCGTGGGCCTGTTGATTGGGTGACTACGCTATACTTCGCTTGACTTGAGGGTGGGATTGGTGGTTGGGAACACTAGTTGTTCTCTGTGTATTATTCTGTTCTATTCTATTCTGTTAAGTTGAAAGGTACAATATTTACCCGCAAGAGGGATATACACAACGCTAAAAATCTGTCATGTTCAAAAATTCATCTCATTCATAAACGATACATCCCGGCTCTTTCTGCTCACCAGAATCCCTAGTTTACCAACTTGATAAAGAAGGCTGTAATAAACAGTTTGAAGCATAAAATTTGTGTACAATGGGATCTAGTCAGTGTATTAATACAATAACTAATTGCTGCAAGTGAAAGTAGGGAGCAAGATTTATGGCTGAGGTTGCGAGGATACGAAAATGAAAGTTGAGAATGCCCAAGGATGTGCCTCGCGGTCCCATTGTGATGGTCAAGTGTTCGAAATTTGTGTTGAAAAGAGCGTTATTGGACATTAAATGCTGAAGACCATTGCCATGTCATGCTGGTAAAACGATGAACTGTAAAATGGTGGTAGATAACCAGAGGAACAAAAACACATAATCATGGCTAGCTACGCCCTGGTTTAAAGTGCTGCTGGAAGCTGAAAGGTAGAATTTGTGAAATGAGAATGCGACCTATTAACATGCACTATCATTGCCGCCCATGCTGCTCCTTATGCTCCCAAACGTGTTGGTCATGTGGGGCTTTACCTTACCCGTACGATTTGAAGCGTTATCCATATTAGAGCGGGGCAACAGCTGGTGGGCTCTGCCCACAATTTCGGTACGCTTGCGCCGAAGAACATCAAGAATCCGGCGTAAGAGTGTGTAGCAGTTAGAAATATTTAATACGATCACAGCTGTACAGAGAAGTGCAAAACCAGCTTCACCAATTGGCACTCATTCTTTCTGGGCCCCACCGCCAAGACGCGCTAGCTTGGTAAATGGGTACATCTAACTAAATGGGATTTGTGTACATTACGTCATGGCCATTCTTGATCAAATAGCCTTGGGTGGTCACACAAGAGATGCGTGCGATTCACTGAGGACAAAACCGACGAATCATGTTCCGCATTCTTGGGCAGAATTTCCAGTAGAACAACTTTAACATTCTGCCCCTCATTCTATGTTGCCTACCCGTCTGCCTACGAAACACAGTGGAATTGAAAAAGTTTCCGGCTAATCTTGTTATATTACTTGTCAAAAGCTTGCTGTACTCCGCAATATATAACAAAAATTTTCATTGTTCTTTAACTTCAACGTTCGCATATCGAAAATGACCTTGTGCACTTTCTCCTCTAGCTCCGGCGACATCTAGGCTCCACTCAAGGAATTCCTGGAAATTTTGATCGGTGCATTTCTGCCAATTTCTTCTCACAAATGCTTTGAGCTCTGCGAAGAATTCTTCGATCGGATTTAGATCGGGCGAATACGGTGGTAAATACAACAACTTGACACCAGTATTCGAGCATAGCTCTCTTATTCGTTTAGTATGGTGGAAAGACGCGTTGTCCATAACAAGGACAGACTTTGGCTCTGGCCATCTACCGCAATGATGGAGAAGTTGTTCAATAAAGTCCTCGAACATACTAGTATCAGTCGGTCCTTGGAAGACTCGCGATATCAAAATGCCATCTTAGCAATACGCTGGGAGAATCTAGTACCGCTGACCCCGCTGGAAACGGGAAACCTGGACAGGTGCCACGCCGCGGGGAGACCAGCCGGTCCTCCTGAAGCCAGCCCGTTTATCACAGCCTGATTCATTTATGTAGACTAGGTGATACGAACGGAAATCTGACAGCTGATATAGATAGTAATCTCTCAGATCCGCATTTCTCTCTTGTGCTATCTGTCGGCCACTTTCTTAGTCCAACCATGCGATCTAAGGGCCCGACTGATAGTGTACGTGGATACGAGCACGTCGAATTCATCGGACAAGAACTCTACCATCTCATCTAGGTATAATTCCGGTTTCTCTAGCAAATGGTCGCATAGCGCTTCCAGCATAACGGACGTGATTACACGAGGATGGCCGCCAGGGATCAAGGGTGCTCGGACATCGCCAAACATTCGGAGGTTGGCACTGATGGTTATTATCGAACGCTTGCTGCAGCCAGCCGCTTCAGCCATCTGGGAAGTAGTCAGCGATTTACTACTGATCATATCGCGGATTATCACAAGCTGGGAGGATGCAAGTCGGGGTGCCATAATGGTCTGTGTCGCGCTGTCAATCGAAGAAGTGGGCGAGATGGCCAGGGGCGCAGGGCAAGGAGATGGGTCTGGCTGGGTACGGGCCGACAGTCGAGACGAAAACCGGCGCCTAACTTGCCCCTCTTTATCTCGCCAGGAAAGCCCAGCCTATAATTCTAATCCCATATTTTTACGCTTGAGTCACCTTCATGTCGGAACATACGTATTTATGCCGTGTACTTCCAAATGGATGCTCTATCCTCGGCGGCGAGCGTTATCGCGGTCATTCAACTGACAGGAAGCCTCGTGAAGCTTTGCGGGGGCTACATCCAAGAGGTGAGAGATGCACGAAACGGAATTTTTACACTACAGCGGGCGGTTGCAGGCCTTCATGAAATGTTCGCAGACCTACATTTGTAGACTTTGACATTATCGCCCCGTAGTGCATGACTATTTCCATTTTATTCCCTGGACGACAGATATGACGCAAATTACTGATGGGGTAGGGTAGTCAGAAAACGAGGGCAGGCCAAACATGACCGATAGACTAGCCATCACGGAATAAATGGCCCTGTGGGGTCCGTCTATTTTGGGTATAGTCTAGTTTTGTGCTGGCCAAATCAGAGGGTGCTTACTTGAGGCTTAGTAAGGAATCACCTAGTACGCCTAAGCACTCACTGAGCACTCACTGAGCCGACATTGAGCACGACTGAGCACATCACTGAGCACAACTGAGCAATCACTGTGCATTAGTCATCGATCACGTGATGGGACTGAGCATGATCCCCGAGTCTGAGCCCGTACTGACGTCTACTCAAGATCCTGAGCATGAGCGCCCTCATAAAGCGGCGGCAGCCTAGATAGGAAATGCCCCACCCTGCAGACTTTATCCTGTCTATATAATAGCATATATTTCAAATAGCAATATGAGCGTAATACTACAGTAACCCCCGGTGATGATCGCCATTTATATGAGTGACGACTTTTCTGCGCCCTGTGGAAGACATCCTCCTTTTGATTCGCCCGCCGTCGACCCACCAGCACCTCAAAATGGTCTTTGACAGTTAAAAGGCTCGAGTCGTTGATATTTCCTGATACTTCCTTTTATTTTCAAAGATGGAACTCGAATCTCGCAATAACAGCACCGATCGAATTGAACCAGATGAACTGGTGCATTCACATGAAGGAAGACAACTCCCACCAGTGGATGGAGGCAAAGATGCATGGATGTTCCTAGTGGCCGGCTTCATCATCGAGGGGTTGACTTGGGGTTGGTATTGAGTTGGCGAATTCTCTGATCTCTACTAACAGATGTCTAGGCTTTGCATTTTCCTACGGTGTTTTTCAGGATTATTATCTTTCAAGTGATGAGTTCCGGAACTCGGGCAACATCGCAGCCATTGGTACTTGTGCATTGGTAATGGAGATGGCTCTATATTCTTGGATTATGTACTAACATGCGACAGGGAATTGCCTATCTTTCGGCTCCTCTCGACTTTGCATTGTTACTAGGAGTGCCTCGCTTCAGGCGACTTGCCACTCCGGTTGGCTTCCTGGTTATGTGTTTAGCCCTTGCATTGAGCTCTTTCTCTACGACGACAACCCACCTCATTCTCTCGCAGGGTGTGGGTTATGGTCTAGGAGCTGGATTGGCCTACTCACCTGTGATTCTGTGGATGGGTGAATGGTTTGTCAAGCGGCGTGGACTTGCTTTTGGGACTATGTGGGTAAGTATACTCCAACCAGCTCAAATTAGGTGAACACCAACTCACCTATACAATAGGCTGGAACAGGTCTGTCTGGTGTTGTATTTCCCATTGTTCTCCAGTGGATGCTGAAAGAGTACGGCTTCCGCACCACTCTGCGCGTCTGGTCTGTTCTACTCATGATTCTCATTGCACCGGTCATCTATTTTGTTAAGCCACGCATTCCGACTTCCTCCCAGACTGCTAGCAAGATCAGGCCTTTCGACCTCAGTTTTATATGGACCAGATCCTTCATGATCTACCAAGTGTGCAACACAGTGGAAGCATTGGGCTTCTTCCTTCCAGCCGTGTTCCTACCAAGTCAAGCTCGATCATTAGGCGTGACCGGTCCGCTGGCATCATTGACTGTCATCTTGTTCAATCTTGCATCCATCGGTGGATGTGTGGTGATGGGAATGCTCGTGGACAAACACCATGCTACGACCTGCATACTCTTGTCTAGCGTTGGGACCGCGCTGTCTGTCTTCCTCATCTGGGGCTTTAGTGTTTCGATCGCGCCTCTGTATGTATTCTGCATTGTTTATGGGCTCTTTGCGGGCTCATTTACTTCCACATGGACCGCGATTACAAGAGAGACACAGAAGAACAACGAGCGAGCAGATATGTCGATGATCTTTGGAATTTTGGAGACCGGTCGCGGGATTGGAAATATTGCCAGTGGATTCTTGAGTGAAGCTTTGATTGCACATGGTGCTTCTACCAGCGCATACGCGTTTGGAAGCACTTATGGTAACATTATCATCTTCACCGGAGTCACGGCTCTATTTGGAGGTGCCTGTGCCCTGGCTCGTCCTTTGAAGCTACTCTAAGAATCCTGACTGCATTGAAAACGAAAAGAATTGGTACCTGGGATCTATTTGGCATGAGTGGCCAGAAGATAGACCGGGAAAAAATTGTTTAGATCAAAACTACTTGAATTATATATCGCCCTTCGGTCTTTCCATCACTAGAAAACGAAAGTACTCTCAAGCGGTAGGTTGCGACTCGAATGGCCCACCCAAACCTTGTACTGGCCCTTTTGAAGAGCCCACTGCTGCGCGGTGACATCCCAACTGCTCAGATCTCTACGTGTCAAGGAGAACGTGACCTTTGCACTCTTCCCACTATCCACAGACACCTTTTCGAACCCACGCAGCTGGCGCACAGGACCGTTAGGAATTCCAACGTACAACTGTGCCACCTCGTCTCCATTAACCGAGCCGGAGTTTTGCACAACAGCAGAGACCTTGACGAGCTCATCCCACAGGTGCGGATTGCCGCCTTCCACAATCTTGGCTGCGGCCGGATACGTTGACCAAGGCGTACCCTTCTTCTGTAATTGAAGACCAGAGTATTTGAAGGTGGTGTACGACAGTCCATATCCGAATTCGAACCGGGGAACAATCCCCTTGGAGTCAAATGCACGATAATCGATAAACTGACCTTCGCTAAAGTCGGACTGTGGGTAGAGCCAGTACTCCCCTTCAGGCTCAGAGGGGTGCAACAGCGATCCATAGTCGCTTGCCTGCTTGGCAACAGTGTATGGCAGCCTGCCGGATGGGTTGGCATGGCCATAAAGGAGGTCAACAATTGAGCGGCCGGTGTCCTGACCAGGCAAGTGGGCGAACATGACTGCCGTGATGTTTTCATTCTCAATCCAGTTGTCGACAACTCGGATTCCCGCGTTGTGGATGACAACTACTGTGTTAGAGCACTTGCCCGCTACGTTGGTGATCAAAGTATCGCTGTACTCATCACTCAACCCAGGACGATCAAAGCCCTCGCTGGCATAGCTGTTGACGAAGACCAGACAGACGTCCGAGGTGGGATCAACGTCGGGGTCCTGAGAATCGAAGTTCCACATGACAGAGCCACCATCGGAGTAAGCCTGACGCTGAATCGCATCGATGGGACTATCCACGTAGGCGGCTGAATTGGCACCTGAGCCTCCTGCAACGTACAAGGTGCTGTTTTGCGTTGCTGGTGTACCCTTGGTATAGCCGAGCGAGACCTCTAGAAAGTCCGGCCCTTTGGCGTCATATCCAAACACAGATACCAGACCAGGTTTACTTAATGGCAGCGCGTTGTTCGTGTTTTTGACCAGAACATGTCCTTCAATGGCTCCCTGCAGTAAAGTGTCCTTCGAAACTGCAGATTTGCCAATCACCTTCTCATGGGCGGCGCCCACATCGGCGGGCATTCCGATGCCTGGATTCGGGATGCCTTTGTCCTGGTTGAGCTGGTACCACGTCGCCATGATACTATTATCCTCGATGTCAGCAATTCAGTTCATGTTGCAACGGAGAAGCAGATTCCATACCGCGTAGCCATGTCATCCAACCTTGAGGCTTCCATTGACCCATTGGAGATTGCAGTTGTTAAATGGTCACCCCACAAGTCTGAGGAGGGCATCACCATGTCTAAGCCAGCATTGGCTCCTGCGATCCCGGCATGCTGAGCACCCCAGTCAGTGACCACATAACCTAGACCATGTTAGTGTGTTGTTACTGAGTGTAACCAGAGATACTAACCCTGGAATCCAAGTTCAGTCTTGAGAAGTCCATTGAGAGTCTTGCTGTTTTGACAGCCGTAGGAGTTGTTGATGCGTTGGTACGAGCACATAATCGACGCACTGCCAGCTAACACAGCATCTTGGAAGGGCCATAGATACAGTTCATGCATGGTCTTGTCATCAATGTTGGAAGATACTGCGGCCATACTCTCACCCTGTGCATTTCTCCCTGGGTTCCGATTTGTTTCTTGCTCATTTGCTATGTAGTGCTGGTGACTGTTAGCTCAAGATGTGAGGGTACGAGGTAACTAAAATTACCTTAGTTGAAGTTCCCACTCCTGATGATTGCACACCATCAACTGTCTCATACACCAGTGCACCAGCCAGATAAGGGTCGGTCGAAAAGCCTTCCCAGTTTCGTCCACTTTCAACAACACGCCCAAGAGGGCCGATAACAGGTCCAAGCAAAAGATTCACGCCCTTTCTGCGGAACTCAGCTCCCATTTGAGCTCCTCTTTGTTTGGCCAGTACCTTGTTCCAGCTTGAATCTGTTGTCAGTTCGATGCAACTGCGAGTTGGGGCAACTGCTTACCTAGCTCCAACATGAATCCCACTAGGCCAGCTACTGACATAGTCGGTTCCTCTCTGTTGTTGCTTAGCTGATGTACTTCAATCTTGAAACTTGGTACTCACCAATCCATTGCCAGCGTCAGAGACACAGAATCCAGGGAATCCCAGGTGATCAATCGGTCCAATATTGC